CTGTATAGAATGTTGATTTAAACGTCTGTAAAGCCTTTGTCTTTGTATTTCTTTGCCTATCTGGCGTGCTCATCTAAACTTCTGAACAGTATTTCTTTGCCTATCTGGCGTGCTCATCTAAACTTCTGTATAGTATTTCTTTGCCTATCTGGCGTGCTCATCTAAACTTCTGTATAGTATTTCTTTTCCAACCTAGAGTGCTTATCTAAACTTCTGTACAGTCTTTCTTTGCCTACCTAGAGTGCTTATCTAAACTTCTGTACAGTCTTTCTTTGCCTACCTAGAGTGCTTATCTAAACTGTTGTACAGTCTTTCTTTGCCTACCTAGAGTGCTTATCTAAACTGTTGTACAGTCTTTCTTTGCCTACCTAGAGTGCTTATCTAAACTTCTGTACAGTCTTTCTTTGCCTATCTGACGTGCTCATCTAAACTTCTGTACAGTCTTTCTTTGCCTATCTGGCGTGCTCATCTAAACTTCTGTACAGTGTTTATTTGCCTACCTAGAGTGCTCATCTAAACTTCTGTACAGTCTTTCTTTGCCTATCTGGCGTGCTCATCTAAACTTCTGCAACAGTCTTTCTTTGCCTACCTAGAGTGCTCATCTACACTTCTGAAAATTCTTTTTTTGGTTACATAGAGTGATCATCTATGCTTCTGTACAGTATTTTTTGGCAACATGGAGTGATCATCTATGCTTCTATACAGTCTTTTTTGGCTATATAGAGCGCTCATCTACACTTTCGTACATTCTTTAGTTAATGCATGTTAAGAAATTTTTTTTTTTTATAACATGACTTCTAGTGTAAATTGATATGAAGATTCCTACTCTAATTTACGACGTTAGGCGGGAAAACTTATTTTAATTATACCTTTTAAAGGACTGAATACTGACTTGACTTCTTTTTCGTAAATCACTTTTAAAATTCGATTCATTCAGAAAAATGTTATTCGATTATATCTTCGACTGAAGAGGGTTGTCCCATCACAATGCAATGACATGGTACACACACATATTTTGTTCGATTCTATTGTTAGGCTGAGCTGACCGGGGCCGGGATGAATCCTGCTCGGTCCTTGGGACCGGCCGTGATACACGGGAACTGGGACGCTCATTACGTAAGTCTCTTCGTCTGCTACATTGTGTTAGTGCCAGATACAGTTATGATGACAGTGCCGGACATAGATCTCATGTCAGTGCCAGATACATTTATGATGACAGTGCCGGGCACATATCTCATGTCAGTGACTGATACAGTTATGACGAGAGTGCCGGACACAGATCTCATGTCAGTGCCAGATACAGTAATGATGACAGTGCCGGACACAGATCTCATGTCAGTGCCAGATACAGTTATGATGACAGTGCCGGACACAGATCTCATGTCAGTGTCAGATACAGTTATGATGACAGTGCCGGACACAGATCTCATGTGGGTGACTGATACAGTTATGATGACCGTGCCAGACACAGATGTCATGTTATTTCCAGATACAGTTATGATGACAATGCCAGACACAGATGTCATGTCAATGCCAGATACAGTTATGATGACAGTGCCAGACACAGGTGTCATGTCAATGCCAGATACAGTTCTTTATCTGACAGATCTATTGAATGTTGATTCCTTGATGTTCTTTATCTGACAGATCTATTGAATATTTATATATTGATGTTATTTATCTGACAGATCTATTGAATATTTATATATTGATGTTATTTATCTGACAGATCTATTGAATATTTATATATTGATGTTATTTATCTGACAGATCTATTGAATATTTATATATTGATGTTATTTATCTGACAGATCTATTGAATATTTACATATTGGTGCTCTTTATCTGACAGATCTATTGAATATTTATATATTGATGTTCTTTGTCTGACAGATCTACTGGATTGGTCCTATATTAGGTGGCACCCTGGGTGGTCTGTTCTATGATCTGGTCTTCTCTGAACGCGTCATCGTCTGGCATAGACACAGACATTTCACTGGCATAGCAACACAGAGTGATGAGGAGGACGATACGTAGAGACGTGGGCTGTGCTGTATAACATGATGTCTGTGCTGTATAACATGATGTCTGTGCTGTATTAGACAATGTCTGTTTTGTATCAGACGTTGTCTGTTCTGTATTAGACGTTGTCTGAGCTGTTTTAAACGAATTATGTGCTGTATTAGGTGTGTGTAATGTATTGAATGATGTCAGCGCTGAATTAGACTGTGACTGTGCTCTATTAGACGGTGTCTGTGCTGTCTAGTTATTTGACAGTTTGGGTTATCTTTAATGCAAATGTCGATGTCAATTAAATGTTTACAGAACTTTCTTTTCTTTTGTTTTACATTACAAACTTTTATTTATTGCGAGTCAAAAATGGAATTACAAATGTCTGAACAGTGTCTGATCAGTGTTTGATCAGTGTTTGGTCAGTGTTTGGTTAGTGTTTAAACAGTGTTTGGTCAATGTTTGATCAGTGTTTAAACAGTGTTTGGTAAGTGTTTGATCAGTGTTTGATCAGTGTTTAAACAGTGTTTGGTCAATGTTTGATCAGTGTTTAAACAGTGTTTGTTCAATGTTTGATCAGTGTTTGGTCAATGTTTGAACAGTGTTCGATCAGTCTTAAAAATGATAATTTACGTGTTTTCCGCTTATAAAGCAAGAGAATTATATTTTTTTTTAAAATAACAATTAAAAGGGTTACAAATTATCGCTAAAGACATTTGAGCGGAGGAAACGCGCCAGGCAAATAGAATCTATTTATGAAACTCAGGGTAGTGTAACCCTTGAAGTTATCGAGGAACTTGTTACCGATCTTAAAAAGCTATAACGAAAAGTTGCCGTCTAAAATAAAAAGAAATATTCCAAACTTATTTGTAGTCAAGTCATAGAAGCCTGACATCATCAGAAAACTAAAATAACTAGCGATAGATTGGGATTTTAAGCAAAGGGAAAAATGAAAAATGCAATTTTTAAAACTATTTCAAAATGAATTATTCCCCCTGGTGCTGACTTCACTGCTTTGGCCAGTTAAAGTTTGCTCAGTAAGACAGAAGGGAACTGTTATCTCAGGAGCGAACTGTTATCACAGGAGGGAACTTTTATCACAGGAGGCAACGTTAACCAATGTTACATATTACAATAGGGAACTTTAGCCAAAGTGACAGGAGGGACGTGTTATTTGTTGACGTCGTTGATCGAATCAAAATTGCAGTCCAAAATTTCTCAGCTGTCGTACAGGTTCCCTTGAAAGGTATTGATTGGCGTACAGAAGGAGCACGGTGGTAATATTACTGTAATGCTTTCAGAAAACGTTTCAAAGCTCCACAGTTACAGTACGACGAACATGGACACAAACATGGGCACAAACATGGACACAAAAATGTCACTTAAACATTTATCAAATAAAATATAATGGAACAAGAAAGCACAACTAAACACAAGTATTCTCCTCACAGAATTTAGTTGACCAGATAGAAACGATTGATGCATTTAAATAAAACCTTTATTCGATGTTTACGTGTTCACATCAAAAGTAGGACGAAATGAAATATAACAACAATAGTAGTATTGCTACTTCAAAGAACAGTGGAACAAAAAAATGTATTTAAAAAAATTTAAAGTGATTTTGTATGGACAATTTATTTAAAAAAAAAAACAACAACCCATCAATACAAAGCTCACACTTTGGGGTTGTGCCGCTGATCATACGTGGCATGTTGGTCGCAAGGCATGCAGACTACTGGTGGTCACAAGGGTGTTGATGAGAGCTCACGGTTTCAAGCACGTGAAACCTCATATCAAGCTCAGTCCGTTGAAGGCGACTCGTTTAGAGCTCTGGACCAGGGATCAGCCCCCCCCCCCAAAAAAAAAAAAACAACAAAAAAACAACAACTGAGGAAGGCACCTCAACTGAGCTCACGGTTTCAAGCACGTGAAACCTCATAGCAAGCTCAGTCCGTTGAAGGCGACTCGTTTAGAGCTCTGGACCAGGATCAGCCCCCCCCCCCAAAAAAAAAAACAACAAAAAAACAACAACTGAGTAAGTCACCTCAACAGTCCCCACCAGTTTCGGGGTTTTAATGGTTAACCTAATGACATCCCAGGTCCAACCATTACATCCTAGGTCAAACCCCTACAACCAAGTTCAGAGGTTTGTCATTTAAAATGGGTTCTACCATTGGGTAATCGCTGCTAAGGTTAGGGTTAGGGTCGCTGCCATGGACTGATTCCGTTTTCTTCAAAAATTTACTTTTTAATATATATTTAGCATTCACAAAAAGGAGGTTGGTTGGTACATGTTGGGATTAAAAAAAAAGGGGGTGGGGCAATCAAGTCTATCCCTTTTTTTTTTTCTTGGAAGACAATTGCTTTGAATTTGATTATCAAAATTAACTGGCAGGTGCAAAAAATAGATTTAAAAAATAGATTTAAAATAGACAAAACAGCCTATCAATTAGTGTTAATTAAAAAAATCGGTGTGATTAAAAAGTGTTTCCTGTTGTTGTCTATTTCTTTGTTTACCTTCCATTTTTTTTTTGCATGGAACAGTGCCGAGATAAATGTTGATGCCCAAACCTTGATGTATTAATGTGTTTAGGGGTAGGGGGGTGTGGGGGTGGGAGGGGGTAGGAGGGTTGGCAGTGGGTTAGATTAGGTCAAGGTTTTCTGGACTAGTTGTCGGCTCGGAATTCATTAAGCAGATATTGTGGTAACTCATGCTGAGCTGTTTGATGTAAGAGGTTGGGGTGGGGGGGGGAGGGGGGCATCACACGCCTTTACTTTAAATGAGATGAACAAAAACAAAACAACAACAACAAGAAAAATAACTATTTACAGAAAAACGCGAGCTATGGATGCAAGTGCAAGTCAAATCAACTCCACACAAAATCACAAAATAGTGTTCTTTTAGACTTTAGGCCCTACCAAATTTATAGAAAAAAAAATAAAGACACGCATAGTTTGTTTACAATTTAAAAAACACAACATACATAATGGCACAGATTAACATTTGAAAAAAAAAATTATTAAACTATATATTTCTTTTATTTCCAGAAAAATCAGACATTAAAAAAAAATATCTCAATATACAAAGTTATTCAACACGAAACAAAATTGAAATCAAAACAATGACATTAAGTCATCAGTGACAATGATTGGATTAACTGACGCTGACAGACGGCATTTGGGTATCGACGAATTGTTTTGCATTCTAACCTGTTTTTTTCTTGCCAACATACGCTCTTGTTGACGTTGACTACATTGATGTTATTTACGCTCTTGTTGACGTTGACTACATTGCTGTTATTTATGAACAGTGAACAAATAAATAAATAAGACTTTAACTTTGTCAAAGATTTTTCTCGGGAAACAACATTAGAAAACGAACTTATTTTAATGTAACTGGCTTTCTAGAAACATTCTAAGTCAGTGGTTCTTAACCTGGGTTCGATCAAACACCAGGGGGTTCGGTGAGTCAGTCTCAGGGGTTCGGCGGAGGTCAAAAAAAAAAAAAAAAAATCAGGAAAAAAAAAATCCTATTTCATTTTCACTATTAAAAAGGGTCCGGAGAATGCACATATGAAACTGGTGGGGTTCGGTACCTCCAAAAAAGCAAAGAATCTCAGGGGTTCGGCGGAGGTCAAAAAAAAAAAAAAAAAATCAGGAAAAAAAAAATCCTATTTCATTTTCACTATTAAGAAGGGTCCGGTGAATGCGCATATGAAACTGGTGGGGTTCGGTACCTCCAAAAAGGCTAAGAACCACTTTTCTAAGTTATCATGCTAAACTCTCCAACATTCGGTTTACTTAAGACACAAAAATAGCCTAATCCCCACAACCATGTTTTCAAATAAATAACACAAGAAAATGTCCCATGAAGACATCTCCGAAACTCAAAATGCGAAAAAAAACAAAAAAAAAAAACAACAACAAGCAAGGTGATACAAGCTACTATTACATGACTATCAAAAAGCAGGTCATCGTTGTCACAATCAGGCCTAAGATCAATTCAGCACCAGGCCGACCTCGTTCGGAGCCTGTTAACAGAAAAACAATACAATTACGTTGTCATGGTAACTGAAATGGAATCGCTAAAAAACGTGTATCTGTCCAAGATATTTCTAAAGAGATCAATGATGAACCTAAAAATACAACAATATCTACAATAAAGAATGTCACATGTTTTTTGTGTGTTTAATAGAGTAAGCTGAAAGTAGAGTAAGTAGTATGTATTATGTGGAGTAAGTAGTAAGTAAGTCTTAGTATAAGTAGTATGTTATTTCTCCGGCCATGATTTCTTGACTTACCAACATTCCGACCAAATACAAAACCACCGACGGACGCTTTTGTTGTAGTTACTGAAACATTGTAACAAGACATGAATAAGTTAGTCAAGGTTTGATGACTGAAAAATTGTTACAAGACATGACTAAGTTAGTCAAGGGTTGATGACTGCAACATTGTTACAACAAATGACAAAGTTAGTCACGGTTTGATGAATGAAACATTGTTAAAACAAATGACAAAGTTAGTCACGGTTTGATGATTGCAACATTGTTACAACAAATGACAAATTTAGTCACGGTTTAATGAATGAAACATTGTTACAACAAATGACAAAGTTAGTTATGGTTTGATGATTGCAACATTGTTACAACAAATGACAAAGTTAGTCACGGTTTGATGAATGAAACATTGTTAAAACAAATGACAAAGTTAGTCACGGTTTGATGAATGAAACATTGTTAAAACAAATGACAAAGTTAGTTATGGTTTGATGATTGCAACATTGTTACAACAAATGACAAAGTTAGTCACGGTTTAATGAATGAAACATTGTTACAACAAATGACAAAGTTAGTCACGGTTTAATGAATGAAACATTGTTACAACAAATGACAAAGTTAGTCACGGTTTGATGATTGCAACATTGTTAAAACAAATGACAAAGTTAGTTATGGTTTGATGATTGCAACATTGTTACAACAAATGACAAAGTTAGTCACGGTTTGATGATTGCAACATTGTTACAACAAATGACAAATTTAGTCACGGTTTGATGATTGAAACATTGTTAAAACAAATGACAAAGTTAGTTATGGTTTGATGATTGCAACATTGTTACAACAAATGACAAAGTTAGTCACGGTTTGATGAATGAAACATTGTTAAAACAAATGACAAAGTTAGTTATGGTTTGATGATTGCAACATTGTTACAACAAATGACAAAGTTAGTCACGGTTTGATGAATGAAACATTGTTAAAACAAATGACAAAGTTAGTTATGGTTTGATGATTGCAACATTGTTACAACAAATGACAAAGTTAGTCACGGTTTGATGATTGCAACATTGTTACAACAAATGACAAAGTTAGTCACGGTTTGATGAATGAAACATTGTTAAAACAAATGACAAAGTTAGTTATGGTTTGATGATTGCAACATTGTTACAACAAATGACAAAGTTAGTCACGGTTTGATGATTGCAACATTGTTACAACAAATGACAAAGTTAGTTATGGTTTGATGATTGCAACATTGTTACAACAAATGACAAAGTTAGTCACGGTTTGATGAATGAAACATTGCTACAAGAAATTATTCAGTTAATCACACTTTGAATCTGTTTTCTCATTATTATCTCACCCTGCACTTCCATATCTCTGCAAAACCCTTCTGCCATCGATACGCTATTCCTTAAAGTCACCATCTCGCCTTATCATTATCCTATTCCTCCATCAATCTGTCATTATGCCATGCCATCCTCAAACCACTTACCTTTCCTGCACCTCCGACTTAATGCCACAACCTCACCAACCCACCATAATGTCACAACCTCACCAACCCACCATAATGTCACAACCTCACCAACCCACCATAATGTCACAACCTCACAACCCACCATAATGTCACAACCTCACAACCCACCATAATGACACAACCTCACCAACCCACCATAATGTCACAACCTCACCAACCCACCATAATGTCACAACCTCACCAACCCACCATAATGTCACAACCTCACAACCCACCATAATGTCACAACCTCACCAACCCACCATAATGACACAACCTCACCAACCCACCATAATGTCACAACCTCACAACCCACCATAATGTCACAACCTCACCAACCCACCATAATGACACAACCTCACCAACCCACCATAATGCCACAACCTCAGCAACCCACCATAATGTCACCCGCTCACCAACCCACCACAATGTCACAACCTCACCAACCCACCACAATGTCACAACCTCACCAACCCACCACAATGTCACAACCTCACCAACCCACCACAATGTCACAACCTCACCAACCCACCACAATGTCACAACCTCACCAACCCACCATAATGCCACAACCTCACCAACCAACCATAATGCCACAACCTCACCAACACACCATAATGTCACAACCTCACCAACCCACTATAATATCACCCGCTCACCAACCCAACATAATGTCAACCGCTCACCAGCCAACCATAATGTCACAAGCTCACCAACACACCATAATGTCACAACCTCACCAACCCACCATAATTTCACCCGCTCACCAACCCACCATAATGTCAACCGGTCACCAACCCACCATAATGTCACAACCTCACCAACACACCATAAGGTCACAACCTCACCAACCCACCAAAATGTCACAACCTCACCAACCAACCATAATATCACAACCTCACCAACCCACCATAATGTCACAACCTCACCAACCCACCAAAATGTCACAACCTCAGCAACACACCATAATGTCACAATCTCAGCAACACACCATAATGTCACAACCGCTCACCAACCCACCATAATGCCACAAACTTACCAACCGCCATAATGCCACAACCTTACCAACCCACCATAATGTCACAACCTTACCAACCCACCATAATGTCACAACCCTCAATATCCCCACATTATGCCACCCCCACCACTATTTCACTGATGTAAGTACTACTAGATCCAATGTTTGGACATCTCAGAACACATCCTCTTAACAACCGCTGTCGTTTGGTCACAACGTAACACTTACTTTGTTCAGGTAACATTCCTGATGGACTTTTTGATGTTGGGGCAGAAGATGGAGGGCTGTTAGATGGGGGACCGGCGGGTGGGGCTGGTAAAAAAAAAAACGGAAGAAAAAAAAAATTCAGCATATGTCCAAAGTTTATTTCTTAATATTAATAAAATTATTGCTTTCTTCGTATTTTGATTGAAATGAATCATTTACCATTAACAATTTAGGTTGTGTTTAATACATCAGAAGCCATGGCGTGTATGACAAACCCAACATATTTTGATGTCGACTCTTACCGTCAGCCACAATGCCGCCCCCTTCTCCTATATGACCGCAATCGGAGGAACCAAGGGTGATGACTGAAAAAAAATTCAAATGAAACCTTTGCAACAACTGAAAATGTAGGTCAACCAATTTAAATGAAACCTTTGCAACCACTGAAAATTTAGGTCAAACAATTCAAATCAAACCATTGCAACCACTGAAAATGTAGGTAAACCAATTCAAATCAAACCATTGCAACCACTGAAAATGTAATTCAACCCATTAAAACCAAACCATTGAAATGTAGGTCAACCAAGGGCAGCAACTGCCAATGGCAAGTAAAAAAGCGTGATATTTTCCGCCCCCCCCCCCTCCCTCCCCTGTTTTTTTTAAAAATATATTTTTATTGTTACCTTCATTATAAAGGAAGGGTGACAAAAGGAACACAATTAAATAAGAGAATTTTCTTTTAAACCGACAAGAAAAGTAAGACATCAAAATAACGGAATTAATATTCAGAATTTACCGATTTTTATGTTGAGGACAGGGAAGGGTGATTTGGGTAACTTGGGTACGCGAGTGTATGCATGTGTTTTATGAGAGTGTATGAATGTTTTTTAGCTGTTGGAGTGGGGACCCAGTCCCCTGAATCGCTGCAACACTCCATCAGACCAAGTTAACCCTGGCCTCCCATCAAACTGTTCATGAACGACTCACCAATGCTGCAGTCCCCGTACTTGGACAGCAAGAAAGAGTCCAACGCTTTTGCCTCTGGGCCGGCTGACAGCCCACACCCGCATAGTGCAGTCCGAGTACACTGGATAAGATTTGTACTTGTTCTGGAGGATGATATGGAAACGACCGTTACATCACAGTTTTTCGTATAAATCCTTTCTATACTTTTGTTTGTTTGCATTTATATACATTACGTGATTTATAATTCATGTGATTGTAGCAACTGATTTTTTGGTATGGGAATGGTTTTTATCAAACCTAGTGCATGTAAAACGTAATAGACTAAAGATATATTTAAACCCAAATACGTCACAGATACAAAGCACATAGCAAACAAGTACACAATTAATCTCCACACCAAAACACATACCCATTGAATAAATAATAGTTCATTCATTTTCACCTTGACACACGGAAAAACCTGGTTAGGGGTTGGAGTGGGGCTGGGAGGGGGGGGTTGAAAATTTGGACAGAATGTGTTGTCACCGGCAACGAATCTATATGCCAAGCTTCAGCTTGATAGGATGACGGGAAGTGGGTCATTTAGCGATGAGAAGATTTTTGCCAGAAGGCACAAGAACAAAGGAAGTGTTAATTGTGCTCTTCGTATGGAGTTCGTAAAAATAGAAAACGTGACGTCAGATACGAAACGGCCTGTGACAAATTTTTTAAAAGATTTAAAAGAAAATTAAATTAAAAAACAATCAATCAATATTCTAAGGAAATACACAACATACATTCAACAAAGCGGAGGCCAATGACCGATAGAGTTACTCACATGCAGTAGGCATTCTATAAAGCAAGGGTCTATATGCCCCTTAGAAAGACTCACGTGGAATAGGTATTCTATAAAGCAGGGGTCTGTGCCCCATAAAATGACTCGCAAGAAGCAGACATTCTATAAAGCAGGGGTCTGTGCCCCATATGATGACTCGCAGGCAGTAGGCATTCTATAAAGCAGGGGTCTATGCCCCATAGAATGACTCACATGCAGTGGCATTCTATAAAGCAGGGGTCTATGCCCCATAGAATGACTCACAGGCAGTAGGCATTCTATAAAGCAGGGGTCTATGCCCCATAGAATGACTCATAGGCAGCAGGCGTTCTATAAAGCAGGGGTCTATGCCCCATAGAATGACTCACAGGCAGTAGGCATTCTATAAAGCAGGGGTCTATGCCCCATAGAATGACTCACAGGCAGTAGGCATTCTATAAAGCAGGGGTCTATGCCCCATAGAATGACTCACAGGCAGTAGGCGATATAATCCTTTTTACTCAGTGCGTCAATCTTGAACTGGTCGTACTGTGTCGCGCACTGCATCACGGCCGGACAAATGGATGGCCAGGGATCAAACTCAATGGCTGGATTAAGGGGGAAAAAAAGAGTGGTTGGGTCAGTGTTAATAAATAAAATTTTAATACAGGATAACCAAAAAACAACAACAAAAACAACAATTATTTCAACATCATCAACATCATTCCCCCCCCCCTTTCCCCCCAACCCCATCAAGGCCCACATGCTGCCCGTCCTAACTATATCAACATTCTCTGTTGTTTCACTATTCTCCTTGCTGTCCTAACTATAGCATTATTCTATGTGGTTTGACTATCACCCTTGCTGTCCTAACTATAGCATTATTCTATGTGGTTTGACTATCATCCTTGCTGTCCTAGCTATAGCATTATTCTATGTGGTTTGACTATCATCCTTGCTGTCCTAGCTATAGCATTATTCTATGTGGTTTGACTATCATCATTGCTGTCCTAGCTATAGCATTATTCTACGTGATTTCACTAACCTACTTGTAGAGGCACCATTTTAGGGGGAGGGGGGGGGGCAAAACCAAACCTTGGTCGGTTTATAATGTTTATTACTGCAGGCGCCACAGTACAAAGCAATTTAAATAAAATCAACAAAAAAAAAATTCAGGGGGAAGGGGGCTAATGCCCCACCTTTCCCTACCCAAATGTCGCCCCTGCCTCCCTGCTGTCCTTACTATAGTAGCATTCTGTGTGCTTTCACTAAACACATATATTAAGCTTAGAATATAGTGTACCCACATATAATATTTTAATATGCAAAGGGAGTAAAATGTATGTCTTAAACTAGGGACACATTCTTTCGAAACCTGTTTGGTGGTGTTGTACTTTACACACAATACATTCCCAACTGTTTGATGGTGTTGTACTTTACACCCAATACATTCCCTACTGTTTGATGATGAATTTATCATAAAAAGCCCTCTAAAGGTTCTCAACTTGTGGGTCGCGATCCCTTTGAGGCTCGAACGATCCTTAAACAGGGGTCACCTAAGACCATCGGAAAGCACATGCTTATGAAGTAGCAACGAAAATAATTGTATGAAGGGAGGGTCAACACAACATGAAGAACTGTCACGACACTAGGAAGGTTGAGAACCACTGCTCTAAAGTCTGAAGACGCGGGGAGACAAGGAGGTCAGGCCACGAGTCATTTGGTCACAAAAGAAAAAAATTCTTGAAAGAAATTGATAAAATTCAAACAAGAAGAAAGAGAAAAAATATTTTCTCTTGCAATATCCAATGAATGTTTTCTAACCTTTTTCGATTAGGGTCTTGGCAACTGGGATAAGTTTAGGCATGGCTGTAACACGGTCTGAAGACACAATACAATGTGAGAACCGTTGTATAGCATCCTTAAATAACATCTTTAAAAAAACAATAATTAAATATCAAATTTATGCAACTTCTTAAACGTATTCACTTCTGTGAAGCTTCTTCAAAAACAAATCTCTCTACATCTAATGAAAACATTCCCTTCATATAAAATCTCTCTACATCTAATGAAAACATTCCCTTCATATAAAATCTCTCTACATCTAATGAAAACATTCCCTTCATATAAAATCTCTCTACATCTAATGAAAACATTCCCTTCATATAAAATCTCTCTACATCTAATGAAAACATTCCCTTCATATAAAATCTCTCTACATCTAATGAAAACATTCCCTTCATATAAAATCTCTCTACATCTAATGAAAACATTCCCTTCATATAAAATCTCTCTACATCTAATGAAAACATTCCCTTCATATAAAATCTCTCTACATCTAATGAAAACATTCCCTTCATATAAAATCTCTCTACATCTAATGAAAACATTCCCTTCATATAAAATCTCTCTACATCTAATGAAAACATTCCCTTCATATAAAATCTCTCTATATCTTATGCATAGTTTATATATTATATCTTAGAGGAAAAACCTCTATGCATCACCGTTAAGTAAATACGTGAAAAAAAGTTTGGAGATACCGGAAAAACGAGGCAATACAACATCATTACATGTTTTCCCATATTTTGTTTCGCATATTTACTTCTACCTAACCTGATTACAGTCTCTCTCCCCCCCCTCCCCCCTCCCCCCAAATCCCGCTATCACCATGAAGGGACATCTGCATATTGAGTCTTATTATTTAAACCGTTCCAATCTTAAAATTTGCTGATGATACCACCATTGTTGGCTTAATATCTGAAGGAGAAGGCTTATACCGCAACTTAGTTACAAGCTTTATCACTTGTATAATGCAATCAAAAAAAATTTCCATTTATTTGGATCAATAAAAGAATCTTATCTTATCATATCTTATTACATCTTTAACATTATATGATATCTGATCGCTTAGAAATGTGATTAAAGACCCGATGATTTTATTTGACCCTTGATCCCGTGGACAGAGGATAGAGTATTCTCCAACTAAAATGAACTCTTCAGGTAAAGCCCCGCTTCAACGGTGTCCCCAAGGGTTTGGCCTCTACTTGGCGCGGCCGACTGGTCAACTCAGTCCAACGTCTCCCAAGGCAAAGAAGAGGCTTAGGTTCGGCGGGCTCTCCCCGGGAGAAGATAAGAAAAGAAAGACAAGTCACTATTCTTCCATATGGCTAGTACAATTAACATGTATCTAAGCGATGGGCTTTTAATATTCTCCACCCCCCCCCCACGGTTTTTGCTAGCTGTGATGGTTGTACACCCTAATTTTTGCTGGTGGTTGTTGTTATGGTTGTACTCCCCATGTTATGGCTGTACTCACCGAAACAAAGAAAATCTGGGCTCAGCAACATCTCCGGCACTCTGAGAGCGATGTCGTTGAGCACTGGGGACAAGAAATGTCCAAAAATTTCAAAGTACCAATGCACACATCTTGCTATTGGCGGGAATTTTTAGTCAAGATGGGTCATTTTTATTCATTTTTTTATATCTGTAATTTACCTCATTGGTACTATTCCATCAAATGTATAAACTTGTTATTATACATGGTGGCCGTTTGACTCATCCTCCTTTTGAATCCAATAATTTAAGATGTCTGAATCATTTTGTGCTTAGAGGGCACATCAGAACGTCATCCCAGAACGTCACCCCAGAAGGTCGTCCCAGAACGTCATCCCAGACATCACCCCAGAACGTCATCCCAGAACGTCACCCCAGAACGTCGTCCCAGAACGTCGTCCCAGAACGTCGTCACAGAACGTCGTTCGAGAACGTCGTCCCAGAACGTCGTTCAAGAACGTCGTCCCAGAGCGTCGTTCAAGAACGTCGTCCCAGAACGTCATTCAAGAACGTCATTCAAGAACGTCATCCCAGAGCGTAGACCCAGAATGTTACCCCAGAACGTCACCTCACAACGTCACCCCAGAACGTCACCCCAGAAGGTCGTCCCAGAAGGTCGTCCCAGAACGTCACCCCAGAAGTCACCCCAGAAGGTCGTCCCAGAACGTCATCCCAGACATCACCCCAGAATGTCATCCCAGAACGTCATCCCAGAACGTGGTCCCAGAAAGTCACCCCCGAACGTCATCCCAGAACGTCACCCCAGAACGTGGTCCCAGAACATCACCCTCCACCAAATTTAAAGAGTATACACACATATTGACAATTATTGCGTATGTATTTAATGCGTTTTCCATTAGAACCACTTCGTCAATGTGTAATGGGTGCCCCGTCGTTTTTGTGTAATTGTTACCTCTTCGTTGGGGAACACTTACACAAAAACGATGGGGAACAAATCGTTTATGTGTAATTGTTGCCCCATCGTTTTTCTGTAATTGTTGCCCCATCGCTTTTCTGTAATTGTTGCCCCATCGCTTTTCTGTAATTGTTGCCCCATCGCTTTTCTGTAATTTTTGCCCCATCGCTTTTCTGTAATTGTTGCCCCATCGCTTTTGTGTAATAGGTCCTCATCGCTTTCATGTTGTTAATTTCCTGATGCGTCACTTCCTACGTACGCACTCCTAAACTTAAGCTTAACAAAATGCTAATCCAAAATTAAGCAGACCATGCGTGGTTCTAGCCTGACGTAAGCCTGACCTACTTGTCTAAATCTTCGGGCACGCCCACAAAAATATTACCAGGTGGGCACCAAGAAACTGCACTAGATGCTATTTTAATGTTAAAAATAGTCCTCGATACTTTAGTCTTTTATTCCCCCTTCTACAAAATGTTTTTCTTTGTGTGTATGTGTGTGTGTGTGTGTGTGTATGTATGTGCGTGTGTGTGTTATAATGAGGGTGGGAGCAACATGTTTCCAATGTCCGTAATTGTTCATCGGACACAGTGGACTCCACTAAAACTATTTGAACAAACTGTCTTGACAACCTTCTGTCACATACAGAAATATAACAACACTGGCTTACCATCACTACATTTTGGGGGTGTGAACAACAAGTAGTTGATCTTCGCTATATTTACATACACCGCGTCAGACCTGGAGTCGTTGCCGGTGTCCAGCAGTCCGCACGTGCACGTGACGTCATGGGCACAGTTGAGGTAATTGGCCCATTCGCTGGAAGCCGTCCATGAAAACATGATGTACATATTTATTACTGGGTCACGTCAGAAATATAACATATGATATGCACATTTATAACTGTGTCGCGTCAGAAGCATAAAATACGATACGCACAGTTATAAATGGGTCACGCCAGAAACATAAAATGTGATATGCACATTTACAACTGGGTCACGCCAGAAACATAAAATATGATATGTACATTTATAACTGGGTCACGCCAGAAACATAAAATATGATATGCACATTTATAACTGGGTCACGTCATGAACATAAAACATGATTTGCACATTTATAACTGGGTCACGTCATGAACATAAAACATGATTTGCGCATTTATAACTGGGTCACGTAATAAACATAAAAAATTATTTGCGCATTTATAACTGGGTCACGTCATGAACATAATATCATAAATCATGAACATGTAATATCTTTTGATCGGGCAACCCCATCTGAGGACTCACTAGCACTGCGCCACACTGTCCGCCTGGTTTGTGAGTTTCTCCATGCACACATCATTGACCAGGGCCCGACTGCAGACTGTGGTCTCTGGAAACAGAGACAGGCATAGGGCACTTAAGATGGTGAGACACAACAGTCGTTTTATGAGTTGCTTTTAGGAATATGGAAAGTTTGAAATAAAATGGGGAACGGGGAACGTATGAGTGGCAAAACTGACTCGAGGAGTCTAAAGAGGGAAGGGGGCAGGGGGGTTGGGGAAAATATTTTTTTTTTAAATCACATAAACGTGTTACAGGTCCTAGTGGCTTAAAATATTGAAACTTGAAAGTTTATAAAAAATAATATTCTTATATTGTAAGATTTTGGATTTAATAACCAATCGCTGATTAAATAATAATGGAGAAAGAACATGTGTCGTTAAAACTTTTTGTAAAAACCATCCTTCAAATCATTGAAAAACCTTTAAAAATATGAACATTGTTAAAATACATACAAAACCCTAAAATCCTCATAAATCTTTATAAAATCCTTAAAAATCCTTAAAATCCTTAATAATCCTTAAAATCCTTTATAATCCTTAAAATCCTTAAAAATCCTTAAAATCCTTAATAATCCTTAAAATCCTTAAAAATCCTTAAAATCCTTAATAATCCTTAAAATCCTTAAAAATCCTTAAAATCCTTAATAATCCTTAAAATCCTTAAAAATCAGCCCCAGAAATTGATGAGAGTGATCTAGACCACACGCGTCCTGGTATGACTTACCATCACAAGACGACATGTTGGCATGAGGAGCATCTGTGATGATATAAGAGACTTTGTATTAGTGACCTCACAAAACTAGAATACGAACAGATGGACGAATGTAAGCGTGCAGTAAGGATGTGTGATGTAATTTGAAAATAAACGTTTGGGCAATGGCACCTCAGAGAACCGCTTTGAGTTTTAGTGATGTATGGATCGATCTGATAACACTCAATCACAAATCAAACGTTTACTCACATCTGGAACAGTTAGCGTTGTGGTCAAGTATTGCCTTCTGTGTGGCGGCCACGCGAGCCTCTCTTTGACCACACCCGCACGCGGCTTTCTCCTCACATCTAAGGCTGTTGAGCTGGTTTCTGGTGACAGAAATTGTTCAGTATAACCCATGCTTAATTTGTATGCAATTTTTTTTTAGCTGTCATAGAAAATAGATGCCATTTATAATTAAACTCTACTTCGACTACACGCTTCACCGAATGTCTAAACATTGAGTTAGAACCCTATGGGGCGTAGCTACGGTTAGAGCGCCCCGGGATGGGCCATGTTTTTGACTCCCCACAACTTCGAAAAAAAGTTGGTCTAAAATGCCACCCCTTAACGTATAGAAAAGTGTCACCCAGGGCGGAAAGGCCCCCTCTGCACTCCCCATCCTACACTTCCGGTTGGAACCAAAAGCCTACCCATTCAATGATACAAACAAGATAAGCGTTCAATCTTACCGACACACTCTCTTCGGGTCGAATGAGTATAGGGAATCAGCGTACACTTCGTCGCTCTGGTCGTAACAGGATTGTACGCCAGGGCATTCTGTGACAAGTTGGGTCTTCACAGGGGCTGTGATGGAGGTGATTTTATCAATAACCTTGGACAAACAAGACATGTACACCAAGACATGGACACCAAGACATGCTCACCAAGACATGTGCACCAAGACATGTTCACCAAGACATGTACACCAAGACATGTACAGCAAGACATGTACAGCACGACATGTACACCAAGACATGTGCATCAAGACATGTTCACCAAGACATGTACACCAATACATGTACACCAATACGTGTAAAGCAAGACATGCTCAACGCACCAAATAGTTTCAAATATTTCCCTCTATTTGTAGGTTTGGAGGTAAAAAATAAATATTTATAAGCTTGCTGAATCTTATAAACGATTTATTGCTTGATAAGTCCAGAAATTCACTATACAATTTGTTCTCTTCCTCAAAACTCGCCCAAAAGTACAAAATGCAATTTGTTATCATTGCCCAAACCTGACCAAAAGCACACTATACATTCTGTTATCTTCCCCAAGACCCGACCAAAAGTACACTATACATTCTGTTATCTTCCCCAAGACCCGACCAATAGTACACTATACAATTTATTATCTTCCTCAAGACTTGACCAAATGTATACAAGTTGTTATTTTTGTAAGACTCGGATGAAAGATGTGTACAAATTAATATTGATGCATTGTTTATTGAAGTTGGATTTGATTGACTTTTATTTTCCCTACTAGACCAGATCCTCATTGAATTTATTTGAAGGATTACGGTAACACTATTGATCTCTATGGCATATTTTACAAATGGATTATTAAATTAGTATCGGACAGAGTAGGAGAGATACAGGTGAGCTTTCTTAGAGCTCTAGGTAATCTATTGGGAGTCTCTTTGACCATGGCCAAACAACTAGTGAGCGTATTCGGACGTAGCCAACTGACGTCATACAACCACTGACTGAAGACTTACAGAGCTTCCAGGACACGACGAGTTTCTTCTTGGCCTCGTCCACGGACCCCTGACCTGGACACGTGATCCCTGTCTGGGGTATGGGCACCCCTGTCACTGGGCAACAGAAATATTAAAGTGAAACATGACAGCAACCCAACTTTGTTAATGGCAGTCTACGCTCCCAGTAGCATAATCATAGTCATCATGACATTTCAAAACATGATGTTTGATGACATGAAGTAATGAAACCCGTTACCCTGTAATATATATATAAATATATATATGTAGGAATCAGTAGTTAATAAAAACAGATAATTGCTTTTTCGTAAAGCATTAATACTACAAGTGTTCAGAAGTCATATAGCCTTAATACTACAAGTGTTCATAAGTCATATAGCCTTACTACTACAAGTGTTCAGGAGCCATATAACTTTAACACTACAAGTGTTCTGAGGTCATATAGCCTTAATACTACAAGTGTTCAGGAGTCATATAACCTTAATACTAAAAGTGTTCTGAGGTCATATAGCCTTAATACTACAAGTGTTCTGAGGTCATATAGCCTTAATACTACAAGTGTTCTGAGGTCATATAGCCTTAATACTACAAGTGTTCTGAGGTCATATAGCCTTAATACTACAAGTGTTCAGAAGTCATATAGCCTTAATACTACAAGTGTTCTGAGGTCATATAGCCTTAATACTACAAGTGTTCTGAGGTCATATAGCCTTAATACTACAAGTGTTCAGAAGTCATATAGCCTTAATACTACAAGTGTTCTGAGGTCATATAGCCTTAATACTACAAGTGTTCTGANTAATACCACAAGTGTTCTGAGGCGAGGGCGCCCGCAGGTAGTGGCAAGGTGGGGCACCCCCCCCCCCCCCCTGCATTGATTGGAAAAAAATTTTTAGACAAAAATAGACAAAAAAATATATGAAAGTAAAGAGAAAGTAACTAAGCTGATGTCCTGTCCGTTCGTTCACCATACAAATACGCTACGGTAAATTAAAACTAAATTAAAACATTACTAAAAAATTCCCCCCCCCCCTTGGAAAGTTAATCGATTTTTTGTGTAGGGATTTTTTGTGCCTTTGAAAGTTTTCTGCGGGCGCCCATGTTCTGAGGTCATATAGCGTTAATACCACAGGTGTTCTGAGGTCTTATAGTATTAATACTACATATGCTCCTGTTTCGTCAAGGATTGATACTACAGGTGTTCTAGGGCAGTAGAGCAGGGTTCGCCACTCACCTGGCTGACAGGCAAGAGTATCGTAACGTTTGGCATTCTCTGTCAACAATCCATAGATGTCCAGCGCTGTGCTGGATGTGCCGTTTTTGACTAATCCACACCCACAGCTAACTTGCTTCACACAACGCTCTCTCTCTTGAAGATTCCTTTTTTTTTTTTTAGAGATATTGAATTATAAATTAATTGTAGAGATATTCCATCAGAGATTCTTGTTGAACGATAAATTATATAGGAAATTACTTATTGCGACATGTTGAACGCTTCACAGACTGATTTTACAACTTGAAGACATGTTCTACAGCTCACACACAAGTTATACAGAGAACCGACAGGTTCTACAACTCACAGACAGGTTCTACAACTCACAGACAGGTTCTACAAATCACAGACAGGTTCTACAACTCACAGACAGGTTCTACAACTCACAGACAGGTTCTAAAACTCACAGACAGGTTCTACAACTCACAGACAGGTTCTACAACTCACAGACAGGTTCTACAACTCACAGACAGGTTCTAAAACTCACAGACATGCAGTCTTATATGGATCCATTCCTCCCACTGGTTGCCTATTGAGGGCATCATCACAGACTGACACTGGGTTTGTCCCATTGCATGCACTCTGATCTTTCAGGGAGTTAGAAATGGAACATTACTTACGGCCAGTTTCACTTTCAGGGCTTGTAACATAGAAGTCACAGACAAAGTGATACACTTTTTAAAAAAAACAGTTTTTAAAAAAAATTATCAAATGTTGATATCAAGGTTTCAACACTAAAATGATCAATTTATAAATCAATTTAAATTCATGTACAAAAAACAAAAATCTTGCCCTAAACGTTTTTAAGCGGCCAGTCAATGTGACAGGCATTCAATGGGTTTGTTAAGTCATCATATTATGACCGCCAGGTTTAGGGGAACTAGGTCATAGGTCATGCATCAGCATTAGAGGTAGTCTTGTGGGACTGAGTAGGGAGGTGAGATTAGTGCGTCATAAAGGCTAGAGTAGTTTGAGGGACTGTGTAGGGAGGTGAGCATAGTGCGTCATAAAGGCTAGAGTAGTTTGAGGGACTGTGTAGGGAGGTGAGTATAGTGCGTCATAAAGGCTAGAGTAGTTTGAGGGACTGTGTAGGGAGGTGAGCATAGTGCGTCACAAAGGCTAGAGTACTTTGAGGGACTGTGTAGGGAGGTGAGCATAGTGCGTCACAAAGGCTAGAAGTAGTTTTGTGGCACTTTGTAGGGAGGTGAGCATGATGCGTCATAAGGGCTAGAAGTAAAGAGCTCTTGTTATAAAATATTGGTCCATCTGGTGCAACTTACCAAAGCATTCCTTAATTGGTGTAGGGGAGATAACTGCGGATATAATACAGCGTGTGAAAAATGGCAGACAATTTTTAAAAGTTGCATGTTTTACTTGAAAACTATTTTAATTATTTTTTTTAAATTCTGCAACATCGCTCTGTTACTGTCGGCAACCGGGTTGAATTACGTAACAAAACATGCAAAAATCCTAGCACGGTCGTCAGAACCTCTAGCTACCCATTCACTCACCACATGGACGTCAAGAACACTAGCTACCCATTCACTCACCCATTCACTCACCCATTCACTCACCACTTGGATTTAACAAACACTAGCTACCTATTCACTCACCACATGGATTTAACAAACACTAGCTACCCATTCACTCACTACATGGATTTAACAAACACTAGCTACCCATTCACTCACCACATTGATGTGACAAACTCGAGCTACCCTTTTACTCACCGCTGTTACTACAAAGCCCGTTCAGAGATTGTCGTTTCTGTGTCAGGATGTCGACAAATCTTGTGTTGAGTGTGCCGCATGCGCACGTGACATTCTCCAAGCAGACGATCTCGTTTGACATGGCACTAAGGGAAAAAAAATGTAAATATTAAAATGTGTTAAATCAAACAGGCTTCTTCTACCTTTGATAAACCCACTCGGCATTTTCATAGTCCAATATTTGTATAGGTCTCCATATCCAACGTTTATGTCAGCCGATGAACTTCGTTACAACTCCGTTCAAATTACAGGCATTGAAAAGACTGTCATCATCAACAGATCTTCAAATAAAACTACCAGCAATGAATGAGAACTCGGACGGTATGAGAAGAGGGCAGTCAGAGTTGCGAGATGAGAGAAAGTATAAGCGAAGTGTCAGCCTAATAAAGAACAAGATTAAAATCATCAAATGTTATCGCCTGAGTTGTTTCCTTAGTGAATGCCAGATATAGAAGAAGGTTAGCAGAGAGCAAGCAAGGTTTCCTTACATGAAAGGCTAGGGCAAACAACCTTCTAAAAACTCACCTACATATTGCGACTAAATCTTTACTGTTGAGTGCTGCCGATCCACCTTGATCGAACTGGGCTATGCATTTGGCCACGCCTGGGCACAGACCGTCTTCAGTGACAGCAAATTGTTCTGTAATGGACGGTGTTAGCATTATGACAACCGGGTGTAGAGCATGCAATCCATCACGCTATCAAGCAATGACAAAGTTGTTGTGATGTTGTACTTTGTGATATTTATTTTGTTAAGCTATATTTTAAGTTGTATTTTATGATGCTGCGACAGATCAATTCCCCATAATCCCAGAAAATTTAAAAAGAATGTGTCTGTTAGGACATTTGGAAGATTTCTAAAGTTAAAAGATATCTAAATTATTGTTCTTCTTTGGATAATCAATGCCATGATTGATAATTGATCCATACTTTATTTTATAAACAGCAGAAAAACGCATTTCATTGTATCAGCATTCATGCTTAAGCAATCTCAGCTTTCATTGTGATTGGTTTCAAATAAGTCTGTCTATCTCCTACGACTAATCTATCTCAGCTTTCATTGTGATTGGTTTCAAATAAGTCAGTCTATCTCATAGGACTAAGCTATCTCAGCTTTCATTGTGATTGGTTTCAAATAAGTCTGTCTATCTCATACGACTAATCTATCTCAGCTTTCATTGTGATTGGTTTCAAATAAGTCAGTCTATCTCATAGGACTAAGCTATCTCAGCTTTCATTGTGATTGGTTTCAAATAAGTCAGTCTATCTCATAGGACTAAGCTATCTCAGCTTTCATTGTGATTGGTTTCAAATAAGTCTGTCTATCTCATACGACTAATCTATCTCAGCTTTCATTGTGATTGGTTTCAAATAAGTCAGTCTATCTCATAGGACTAAGCTATCTCAGCTTTCATTGTGATTGGTTTCAAATAAGTCAGTCTATCTCATAGGACTAAACTTTCTCAGCTTTCATTGTGATTGGTTTCAAATAAGTCAGTCTATCTCATAGGACTAAGCTATCTCAGCTTTCATTGTGATTGGTTTCAAATAAGTCAGTCTATCTCATAGGACTAAGCTATCTCAGCTTTCATTGTGATTGGTTTCAAATAAGTCAGTCTATCTCATAGGACTAAGCTATCTCAGCTTTCAATGTGATTGGTTTCAAATAAGTCAGTCTATCTCATAGGACTAAACTATCTCTGCTTTCATTGTCTTTGGTTTCAAATAAGTCAGTCTATTTCATAGGACTAAGCTATCTCAGCTATCAATGTGATTGGTTTCAAATAAGTCAGTCTATCTCATAGGACTAAGCTATCTCAGCTTTCATTGTGATTGGTTTCAAATAGGTCAGTCTATCTCATAGGACTAAGCTATCTCAGCTTTCATTGTGATTGGTTTCAAATAAGTCAGTCTATCTCATAGGACTAAGCTATCTCAGCTATCATTGTCTTTGGTTTCAAATAAGTCAGTCTATCTCATAGGACTAAGCTATCTCAGCTTTCATTGTCTTTGGTTTCAAATAAGTCAGTCCATTTCATAGGACTAAGCTATCTCAGCTTTCATTGTGATAGGTTTCAAATAAGCCATTCTATCTCATATGACGAAGCTATCTCAGCTTTCATTGTGATTGGTTTCAAATAGGTCAGTCTATCTCATAGGACTAAGCTATATCAGCTATCATTGTGATTGGTTTCAAATAAGTCAGTCTATCTCATAGGACTAAGCTATATCAGCTTTCATTGTGATTGGTTTCAAATAGGTCAGTCTATCTCATAGGACTAAGCTATCTCAGCTTTCATTGTGATTGGTTTCAAATAAGTCAGTCTATCTCATAGGACTGTATCTAAACTATCTGTATGTCATAGGAATGTTTCTGGTACCCGCCTCTCACAATGTGACGTTGTTGTAGATGAAGTCTACAAGGCCTGGGATTATTCTTTTTAGGATTTATAAGCTACACAGCTAATCGCTTTTCCACTCGCCACTGGAAAGCCAAAGGGAACCTCATCTGGATGATACAGCCTAGCACCAGTAGTGTCGCAGGAGTTGTCGGAATGTTTCATTGTGTCAATGTTATCCACCTACGGGACTTTATCTCCGGGTTTGAATTCAGAATTGTCTTCCCTTAGATGAGTTGCCATCCAAGTTTAACGGGTGTTAACGACCCGTGGTGTTGGTGATGTTATTGCTTGACTGGGCTTTGGTGGGGATTGCACCCCAGACCATGAACTTGAGATTGGCCTAATTTAGACCACTCGGCAACCTCATAGGACTGTACCTCATCTAACTTAATAGAAAACGCAAACCTCAATACTTTGTGTATAATTCTGAGAGATTGGTTTTTGCGCTAATGCACGGTGGTGATGAGCTCCACTAATTACATTATGAGATCAAGCCGTAACAATGTCGAATCTTAAAACTCCAGTACTGACCTTTGCTTGCGTTCATAGCTATCAATTTCTTATCAGGTGTTACCGTCTTATCGTCTGCATGAAGAGAGTAGAGTGCATATTAGAAGCTAGTACTGAACACATTATATGCAAGTAGAGAACACATTAGATGCAAGTAGAGAACACATTAGATGCAAGTAGAGAACACATTAGATGCAAGTAGATAGCAAATTAGATGCAAACTTTTGAAAAAGTTAAACATGATGTTGAAAGTAACTTTTTACTAACTCCTAAAAAGTTTGAATAGGTGTTAAGCTCAGTTCAAACGATCAAATTGTCGTCAAACTGTAAAATTCCCATCAAATTTGCATGACATTTTACGTAAATTTGACTAAAATTTGATCGTGAGAACTGAGCATAACACCTTTTCAAACTATGGGGTTCCCAAGATAAAACTTATCTGAATAATAATTGAGATCAAAACAACTGGTTAAGTTGACACCACTTGGTTACACTGTCTTCACTATGAATGGTTATGTGTCCCAGGCCCTTATGTTTAAACCCTTTGGTCACCTTGTCTATGTTTAAACCACTTGGTCACCTTGTCTTCACTATGAATGGCTATGTGTATCAGACCTTAATGTTTAAACCACTTGGTCACACATTGTTCTTGGATTAGACATGGGGTATAGCTAAGCAGAGAATCTTGTTCGTGGAACAAAACCCTTTCCTCATTTATTACTAATCCATTTGTTTGTTTGTTATTTAGGTTATTATAAATCATTAACTAAATCCTTAAAAAAAATTTTTTACAACATATTTACCCGGGCAAGGGAATCCATTCGTTTTGGGAATTGTGACTCCTGGGGGAAAAAAGGTGATAAAGGATAATCGTTGGGAAATGAAACTAGAAACTAAAAATTGAATCAGATGATGAGATGGAAAAATTCCAATTTGAATAACATCATTAAATATTGAGGCTATAGAATTCAAACAAAACAAAACATTATATAAAGAAAAAACTTGAGTGTAAACTATATAAATAATAAGCGATCAAGCAAATGTTTTTGAAAAATTTAGCAATACACAATTCTAGTCTTTTTGCTTATATCCTAATAATAAGCGAATTTATAAGAAATCAGTCTGTGCTTTTAATAAAGATTAAATCAGAACAATGGACGTTTTTTTAAATTAAAAAAAATAATGGTGTTTTGTTCGAACAGTTTAAGATATTCCTCACAACAAACGTGAAACTGAATTCTTAAAATAAAATATAAATGCTCTACTTGGATGTTTGCCAGTGCAACAAACAAAGTTATTTAACACTTGTGAAGGTTTATTAAATCGTGTGCTTTGTGCATGGGTCTAGAAAAATTCACATGTCCAGAGGTGAAGCCGTTGTCTGTTAAATTACAAGTGATGTGAGGCCATTGTTGTGTGTGAAATGACGACATTCCTGCTTACCCGCGAACCGTGAACAATTTTGTCTGATGTCGAAGGCGTATTTGGCCATGGCCACAGCCGTGTACATCTCAAATTTTTGGTAGAGTCCACATTGGCATACAACACTCTCGTAACATCTGATGTAGGTGGCCATGTGCCTAGGTAAGGGAATACTCGATTGTTGAAACACATTAATGTAAGGTATCTATCATAATGCATTTTATCTCATGTTTTATAATAGTGTGTAATAAATAAGGTCAATTAATGCACTGCGACTCCTTTTTTTTTTTAAACTACCCATTCACTCACCACACTGACGTCACATGCTCTAGCCATCCATTCATTCACCAAACGGACGACATAAACTCAATTTACCTCTTCACTCACCGCACTGACGTCACAAACTCTAGCTACCCATTCACTCACCAAACGGACGACATAAACTCAATTTACCTCTTCACTCACCTCACTGACGTCACAATCTCTAACTACCCATTTATTCACCACACTGACGTCACAAACTCTAGCTACCCATTCACTCACCGCACTGACGTCACAAACTCTAGCTACCCATTCATTCACCGCACTGACGTCACAATCTCTAACTACCCATTTATTCACCACACTGACGTCACAAACTCTAGCTACCCATTTATTCACCACACTGACGTCACAAACTCTAGCTACCCATTTATTCACCACACTGACGTCACAAACTCTAGCTACCCATTCATTCACCAAACGGACGACATAAACTCCCTCTATCCATTCACTCACCGCACTGACGTCACAAACTTCTAGCTACCCATTCACCCAGGTAATACAATCCAAAAGCAAATGGATATGACCTTTACACCACAAACTAGCTGACCATAGGGGTCAAGGATACTGTTCGTTCCAAGTCCAAATTTACCTTTAACCCCCCCTCCCACCACACTAATTTTTTTAATTAACTATCAAATTATTATACAATGTCACTGAAACATTGGCGTCAGCAATAGTGAACTTCCCATTTACTGAATTTACTTGACAAAACATGAACTCAAGTAACGCACACTTAAGAATCCCAATTTTTGCTACACCCGTTTTCCCCATGATACGACACATCACACACTTTTTTCACGCCCATGAACTATATATAGTCTGATGTCCCAACCACTTTTTAACCGAATATTTATCACACCATTGTTCGTCCATTAATATCGACTAGGACCATCGAGTCATCCAGTTTGGGGTGGGGGATGGGTAGTTCATGGTTGGTGAGTTCTTAGGTGGCTTGCTAGTCCAATCTGGACTTGCACTGGTCTCTGGCATCGCGGGCAGGGGATAGATTCTGCGGTCGGTATTCTAATGTTGCTCTTTCGAGCTAGCCTGCGTGTCTCAACTGAGGTTATCCTACTGGCTGCATGAGATTGAGCCCCCTTCTTGACAGCTGATCTCCACCTGGTTCTGTCCTGGGGCTGTCTGCACTCCTTCAATGGGGTTGATGCTGACGGCCTTTAGTGCCGCTTTCAGTGTGTCCTTGTAACGCTTTCTTTGACCTCCCTGTGAGCGCTTTCCTATCTTGAGTTCTCCGAAGAATATCTGATTAGGGAGCCGGTTGTTTTCCATACGGTCTACGTGTCCCATCCAACGGAGTTGAGACTGCATCATGATGGTGACGATGCTAGGGTAGATTCGCTCTAGTGAGGACCTCGGTGTCAGGCACTTTGTCTTGCCACCTGATGCCAAGGCGTTTCCTGAGGCAGGTTACCAATGGTATAAAGGCGTTCATCCAGGTTGTCAACAAAGGTCTGTCTCACACCAGGAGTCTTCAGCCTACTGATGTTGAGGTGTTTCTGAGCTTTGGTGACCTGAGGTCGTCTCTTAGGTTGGATGTGGATTTTCATATTTGATAGGATGAGGCGGTGATCCGTCCAGCATTCTGTACCGCACATGGCCTTAGTCTCCCTCACGTCCTGCTGGTCCCTGCTTTAGAATATGGCATAATCTATTAAGTGCCCTTGTTTTGAAAGGGGAGTGCATCCAGGAGGTCCTGTTGCGCGAAGGGAGGCTTAAGGTGGTTTTGTTATTAGAAGGCCGTGTTCAGCACAGGTCTGAAGTAGCAGTAGACCGTTGCTGTTGCATATTTCTCCATCATTCCTCACACCCCACAGGTGATGTAGTCACTGCCGACACGTGCATTCAAATCTCCAAGAATGATGAGTTTGTCAGCAGTCGGAGTGGGGGAGATGGCAGTGTTTAGATACCTTATCTATGGTCTCTTCTATGTTTTGTCATGGTGGGTGCATAGGCACTGACTAAGGTGGTAGCATTCTTTCCATGGCAGAGGGGGAGTTTCATCATCAGAAGAAGTTCATTGATACCTTTTGGAGAGCTGGAGAGCTTGCTCGCAAAAGAGGTTTTGATGGCAAAAGCCAACTCCAGCTTCTCGCCTCGCGTCAAGGTTACGTCCGCTCCAGAAGAAAGAATAGCCAGCAAGCCTTTCTGTGAGTTCACCTTTGCCAGAGAGTTGGTTTTCACTGAGGGCGGAAATGTCTATTTAGTATCTGGCAAGTTCATGGGCAATGAGCGTTGCGTCGTTGAAGTCTGTTTGAATAGTCCGTTTCGAGCAGTCTGCGGATGTTCCATATGGCAATTTTAAGTAAAATATACTTTACCTTTGTTTTTTCACCGCAAAATTGGGTCCCCACCAAACATGGTTAGCCGGCCAGGGCGTAAAGGAGCAAGCAATGTTTAGGGCACATTTCTAGTTCCTTCCTCGTGCATGGAGGTGAGCAGTGCTGAACTGAATAGGGCTGCTCGGACACTAGGGTGATTGCCGAACTTCCCTTCTGCTTCAGTCTGTGAAGAGCGAACCTATAGCCTGAGTCACCTGTGTGCAGGCTTGCAACTACGACTCTAAGTGTACAACACCTGTGGCTTCGTCGCCACACGTCATCACAGGACTTGGGGTGATGGATGTTGGATGACTGATGACATTGTGACGATTTCATTTTCCGAAAAGAAAAGAAAATATTGCGCACCAATCGCAGTTGCCTCAATTTAAAAAAAAAAATGTTTAGCGTAGTCAAGGAAATTATATTTTGCGTGCTATCGGGAAATCAAAGCAGTCACACCACACAAGCAAAATATAGAAGAGACTAGATGTACCCGCCAAACATTGGTGCCAGCAATGCGTGAACCATCTAGTAAAGTTACTTGACAAAAACGTGAACTCAAGTTACGCACATTTAGGAATGCCAAATTTTGCTACACCTCTCCCCTCCCCCTTTTCAAGATACGTCACTGCACACTTTTTATTTCACGCCCATGAACTATATTTGTATTCTCATGTCCAAACCACTTGTAAACCGAATATTTTTTAAAATAATTCTTAAATTGAGACGATTTCATTTTCGAAAAGAAAAAAGTACGCACCAAACGCAATTGCGTTATTAAAAATAGATATATATCCTTTAGGGTAGTTATCGGGTATTATATTTTGCGCGCTCGTGAACTCATTATTTAACCACACTCTGGCGTATCTATAAACAGCCTGCGTGGTGGTGTTTGACCTTTGCTGGCGAATTATATATATAGATAGATTAGCTCACTATTTCGTTAAGCTAAATTTAGTAGTTTGCAATGTGCATATGCGCATGTGACGTCATGTCGCGTTCTAATGTCTATTTGAGATATATATGTTTATTTATTATTTATTTTGTTGAAACAGGGCCAATAACCTATTAATTACATAGGAATCCACAATTCATCATAGGGGCTGGGATATCTGGCTCCGCGAAGCGCTGTCTAACCTGTATACCGTACGAAAATTCACCTCAGTTCATAAACATTCGACGAACGTACTAACCGGTTATGTTCCCTTTGAAGGATCCTCATCTTAGACTTTGTAAGGGCGAGTGCAGCACCTCCTGTAGAGCGCGTGCGTGGTTCTCTATCGATGAAGATACCGCTCGAACAGACTTTCCCCCTTTCGTTTGACACAGTGCTCTTCCGTAGCGGAGAGATGTCACATAGCTGTGTTTACATGGTACCGTCTTATTAAATATATCTCGGAATGGTTCTACTACCTTTTCTTTTTTTTTTTTAAAACTCGCTCCCCATTCACGGACTCTACTATGTATGAACGAAACTAGGCTCAACGGGGAACACATTTTCCGTAGTCAAAAGACCCTTTCCCAAGTACAACAGACCAACAGATCTTCATTTTCACTACTAGGAATACGTGGAAGTTGGAGCGATGCACTGTTGACAAACCCATGCACGCGTTCAAGATGTTGGAGTTTTAGTAGCATTAGTTTTTTGTGCTTACGGTATTTGGCCCGGAGCAGATATGGGGGCGGGGCGAGAGATAGGTCTTTAAGACTAGAATAGTTATCCCAATAAGACATCACTGACCTGCAGATTAGCTCCTCCTGGCCAGTCGAGGACGCCAAGTTGGACTGTAGCTCCATCTCACATTTGACCCCTGGCTGTTTCAGGCTGCACGCCCCACCGCAGGCGATCTCAAGGAGTTTGGGCTGGAAGCCAGGAACTGACACACGGGGCAGAGGAGACATTAGGACGAGCATCTGGGTAATATGGCGTCGTGGTCACGGAGTCGGGGCCATGGAGTCAGCGTCATGCAGTCTGGGTCATCGAGTCGCTCTCATGTCGTCAGGGTCTTTGAGTCAGTTTAAGTTGTAAGAGATATCGTATAGTTTAAAATGAAAGGAAGAGGATGATCCAAGGGCAAACTACTCACGTAAATTACACTGTAGGGCATTGTCTCCCTTCTCATATTGGTTGACCTGGGCTATGGCCGGGTCGTCCAGCAATTGACATTCGCACGTTTTATTTTCCAAACATTGGATGAAATTGGATGAGGTCCTGTAATATATAGAAGGATAATCGACATTTGTGGTTGGGGGTTGGGGGGGGGGGTGGGGATTATTCACTTAGTCTATTTTATTTTAATCCGTCACATCACCTGACTACCTCAGAAGATAAAATCAATTGCGTGGAGGTAGATTTTATCAGATCGGTGCCTTAGCATGTGCTTAAGTGAGAAACGTAAAAACATTTACTGACCTACAAAGCCCGGTGAGATCTTTGTTGAAGAGCGCCATTTCTGCCTCGGTGTCCCTCGTGTTAAAACATGACGCGAGTCCTGGACACACGGACACCAGATTTGCTATGATCGGGACTGCATTGGAAACGTTTGTAATAGTCATATATAAATTATTATTTTTACGTTCTCTTTTATTATTTCTTGCATGGGAATCTACTGAATGCGAAAGTAATTAAACATTTGACGTTACGAGGTAAAACCAAACAACTATAGTTGTTAATTAAAATAAAAGTAAATTTGTTTCCAATTCATCAAATGATTAATTTTCAGCATCAAAATGAACGTCTCTTTCTGAGTTTTTTTAAAATATTTTTTTATAGTTTTTTTAAAAAAATGGTGTGTAGCAAGCCGTTGGGTTGTCCGTGGTGTTATTAGATTCTCAAAATGTTAAATAAGCTCTGAGATGTGTAGGCATTCTTTGTGTAGTACATAGTGGGAGTAGGATCTGGCCACGCAGGCAGAAGTATAATGTAGCATAATGTAGGGCATGTGGCATAATGTAGGGCATGTGGCCTACTGTAGGGCATGTGGCATAATGTAGGGCATGTGGCCTACTGTAGGGCATGTGGCATACTGTAGGGCATGTGGTACAATGTAAGGCATACTGTAGGGCAACGTTCCAAAAATGTTGACATAATGTAGGGCTTGTGACATACTGTTTGGTATATGGCATACTGAATAAAGGGTATGTGACACATCTCTCCAAAACATTCACCTATCCATCTGTACACCCATTCAGTCATCCATCCATCCTCAGTCCTCTACTCACCTGCAGACGTGTTCATCGACACCTTGTAGGTACTAACTTTGCTTTGGTCGCACCAAATACCAGGTTTGACGGTGTACTGGGAGTCGTCTTCAAAAGTTGGAAACAAAGGAAGTATAATTTTTTATAAAAAAGTAATTAAAAGGATAAGAACATATCAAACATTGAATCTGAATAATTAAAAAAAAAAAGTCATTCTCAAACAAGTCATTCTTAAACAAGTCATCTTTAAACAATTCATACGTAAACACGTCTTCCTTAAACAAGTCAATCTCCAACAATTCATTCTTAAACAAGTCATTCTTGAACACGTATTTCTTAAACAAGTCATTCTTTAACAAGTCATTCTTTACCAAGTCATTTTCAAAAAAGTAATTCTTAAAATAGTAATAATTCTTAAAAAAATCATTGTAAACAAGTCATTCTTAAAAAAGTCATTCTTTAACAAGTCATTCTTTACCAAGTCATTTAAAAAAGTCATTCTTAAACAAGTCATTCTTAAACAGCCTAGTGAAATTTTTTTCAAGAGAGCATTATAAAAGACATTTTTTGAAATAATAATGGACAGAGTCTGTCCCTGACAATCACCGGTCCTTGAGCCATTACGTTTAGATCTAGCGGCGGTCATAATCTACAAAACCCAAGTTTCCTAGCGGTTCTCACATGTCTGGCAATTGTCCTGACTCATGGTGTAAACGTTTCTCGTGATTTCTTTGTAAGCCTGCGCCATCATCAGGTACTCATTGGGATACTGGCACGTGCAGACGGCTTGTTCAGTGCAAGTCAGGTACTTGAAGCGGATCCTGGAATGTACAGAAGTTCCAGAAATTAGAGCATAACCTTTGATGAATATATTAGAGTTACATACACGCTATCAAAGCCGACGGTGTGCATTTGGGAAAAAAAGCACGTCAATCACTCGCCATCTCTGATGCGAGTTGAACGATTTTGTCTTTGTACAAAAAAGTCTGTACACACTAAAAATCTTAGGAAAGAGGATGCTTATGAAGTCAAGACTCACTTGCAGAGTTCAGCTTTATTATCAGGTGACGTGGAGGCTACAGCCTGGGAGAAGTTACTTTGACAGGCGGCCAGGAGCTCAGCGTTAGAACACTGCGGGGTGAGAAAGGGTTGGTCACTGGCGGGTTGGGGGAAGGCTGTACCTGTGGCAGTAGAAAGAATGATGGGAAGTTAACAATATTGGTCACTTGCAGGTGGGGGAAGGCTGTACCTGTGGCAGTAGAAAGAATGATGGGAAATTAACAATATTGGTCACTGGCAGGTTGGGGGAAGGCTGTACCTGTGGCAGTAGAAAGAATGATGGGAAATTAAAGATATTGGTCACTGGCAGGTTGGGTGAAGACTTTACCTGTGCCAGTAGAAAGAGTGATGGGATAAGAAACAAATTGGTCATTGCAATTTAATGATGCGTTTTAGACTTGAAAAATGAATTTTTTTCTTTATTAAATTCTTTGACCGATCTACAACATACAGCAACATATGTTGTTTGTACATCATACAGCAACATATGTTGTTTGTACATCATACAGCAACATATGTTGTTTGTACATCATACAGCAACATATGTTGTTTGTACATCATAAAGCAACATACGTTCTTTGTACATCATACAGCATCAGATGTTCTTTGTACATCATACCGCACCATATGTTGTTTGTACATCATATAGCAACATAAGTTCTTTGTACATCATACAGCATCAGATGTTCTTTGTACATCATACCGCAACATATGTTGTTTGTACATCATATAGCAAAATAAGTTCTTTGTACATCATACAGCATCAGATGTTCTTTGTACATCATACAGCAACATATGTTCTTTGTACATCATGTAGCAACATATGTTCTTTGTACATCATGTAGCAGCATATGTTCTTTGTACATCATGTAGCAGCATATGTTCTTTGTACATCATGTAGCAGCATATGTTCTTTGTACATCATGTAGCAGCATATGTTCTTTGTACATCATGTAGCAGCATATGTTCTTTGTACATCATGTAGCAGCATATGTTCTTTGTACATCATGTAGCAGCATATGTTCTTTGTACATCATGTAGCAGCATATGTTCTTTGTACATCATGTAGCAGCATATGTTCTTTGTACATCATGTAGCAGCATATGTTCTTTGTACATCATGTAGCAACATATGTTCTTTGTACATCATGTAGCAGCATATGTTCTTTAATGCAGGGAAACTTTACTTGAGGTAACTAATAAAAACCATGAATGGCAAGTTGAATTATTACACTTTGAACTACTTTTTATTAAAGATTCTAACATTCTAAAGAAACAACTGGGACGGGGAGATCGCCAGCAGCTTGGAGTCATGTCTGAGGACGGGGAGATCGCCAGCAGCTTGGAGTCATGTCTGAGGACGGGGAGATGGCCAGCAGCTGGGAGTCATGTCTGAGGACGGGGAGATGGCCAGCAGCTGGGAGTCATGTCTGAGGACGGGGAGATGGCCAGCAGCTGGGAGTCATGTCTGAGGACGGGGATTTGAATGGGGTTTAATTAGTTATGGCGGGATTTTAGCGGATACAGTCACTGTGGTGAGGCTTTAAGGGGTTGCAAAGAATGTATTCAGAACATTTCTGCATAACCCCACAATTCACCATTTTGTAAACATAATCCTAAACGGTAGAAAAGTATCTTTTCTTACATATCCTAATCGCTTTGTATGTCCACATATCCTAATTACTTACTGTGTCCACATTTCACTCTCTATATGAGATCGACACATGGAATTACAAAAACTAACAATTACACTGACAATGGCACAGGTAATGGTACTCACGCGTAGACTGACAATGACACTTAACATTATACTGACAAAGACACTGCCAATGAAACTAATACTAACACTACAGTGACATTTAATATGACACGTACAAAAGCATTGGAACAAAACATTTACATTATTGAACTTAACAGACACATTTACATTATTGAACTTAACAGACACATTCACATTATTGGACTAAACAGACACATTCACATTATTGAACTAAACAGACACATTCACATTATTGGACTACAGTGACATTTAATATGACACGTACAAAAGCATTGGAACAAAACTTTTACATTATTGAACTAGATAGACACATTTACATTATTGAACTTAACAGACACATTCACTTTATTGGACTAAACAGACACATTCACATTATTGAACTAAACAGACACATTCACATCATTGGAGTAAACAGACACATTCACATTATTGAACAAAACAGACACACTCACATTATTGAGTTAAACAGACACATTCACATTATTGAACTAAACAGACACATTCACATTATTGAACTAAACAGACACATTCACAATATTAGACTAAAAAGACACATTCACATTATTGAACTAAACAGACACATTCACATTATTGGACTAAACAGACACATTCACATTATTGGACTAAACAGACACATTCACATTATTGAACTAAACAGACACATTTACATTGTGGAACTGAACAGATACACTCGTCAGACAAAATAAATTAATTTAGAAAGTCTGGGTAACGTTCATCCCTGATCATTTGTTATACCAAAAAACCAACAACCAAATTTCCCCCTAAAACAAGAACAACACAACAAACCTAAAACTAAAAGAAAACAACAACAAACAAACAAACAAACAAACAAACAAAAAAGATAAAAATGCTTTAATGATGACGAGTTACAAGGAAAAAACAAATTAATGATGGTCACAAAAGTAGAACTTGGGAGAGGGGGGGGGGCTGTGATTTACATCTCCGGCATAAGGTAGGCAGCCACCACTTACTCTCTCACTAACAAAAACACTCCTACTCCCGCTCTTACACACAAACTCTCAATTTCACTCTCACCACACACATACACACTCTCTCTCACTCACACACACACGCATACTTTCTCTCTCACACTCTCACAAACAAACACAATCTCTCTCTATCATACTCTCTCTCTCTCTCTCTCACTCTATCTTCCCCCCTCTCTCTCTCTCTGTAACACACACATACACGCTTTCTCACTCTCCCTCTCTGTTACTTTCTCATTCACACTTACACACTCTTAAACTCTCGCACAAACACACACACTTGCGCTCTCTCTCTCTCTCTCTCTCTCTGACCTTCACTTCTATGTGTCTATTTTCCGACAATTTTACATCAATATATATGTTTGGATTTTGTTTCCATCTCTCTCTCTCTCTTTGTCTCCAACATTTGCCAAACCGCGCCTTGAATTTGCAGATATTGATTTCAATTTAATACTTTCAGATCTGGTAAAATATCTCTATAAATATCTATATATCTATTTATATCTATATCCCATGCTCTCACCCCCCCCCAACCTCACCGTATAATCATATGGCCATCGTTCTGACATATACAAATCTCTTAATAAGGACGTCGTTGTCCACCTGCCATGTGTCATTAGCTTGTCATGCCGTGACGCGGGAAATATTACCCCATTATAATTTACAATGGTGGATTGAAAATAAAATCGGGAGTGCACCAGTGTCGGTTAGACTAAACCAGAAATACGGTCGGATTGTACTGATTAATATGAAGAGTCTAAAATTATATTACATCGTCTTAATTTGTGAGTAAATTATAAAAGAGGCAAATGGATAGCGCCAATGTTCAATATTTTTCATAATAGATTTGTATACGTCGTATGCCACATAGCAGCGATAACAACTTTACTAGATGACCTGTGCCCGAGAATTTGTATGAAATAGATTAGTTAGTTCGGAAAGTTGACTGAAGAAAAGTTTGTTCGAAATGAAATAACGGGGAAAAGAAAAAAAAAAAGAGGGGGAGGAGGAATAACCAATCAATAAAATATTATGACCTGTGACCGAGAATTTGTATGAAATAGATTAGTTAGTTCGGAAAGTTGACTGAAGAAAAGTTTGTTCGAAATGAAATAACGGGGAAAAGAAAAAAAAAAAGGGGGGGGGGAGGAATCACCAATCAATAAAATATCAATTCTATTAAATAGTTGACTAATTTTGAGCCAGCTTCCATTCGAAAAAATTCCTGATACGATTATACCACACACCTTCCTTTTTTTTTGGCCCTAAAAACAAATGTTCTGCTGCACTGTACTCAGCCGTCTCTTAAATTTCCCACTTCAATATAAATACACAACTCTTCGATTAGGAGCCTTCCAGACTTATGCATGAAAATCACATTTTTAACCCCTTCACCCGCAGTTGCACACTTACTTTTTAAGACCCCCCCCCCTATGCGTACGCGCAACGAGCTTTTGACCTCCACCCCCCCTCCCCCCCCCAAAAAAAAAGAATGTCGAAACCCCAAAAAATTCTATGAACCACTGGCTTAGATGGACAACATTCTATGAACCACTGGCTTAGATGAACAACATTCTATGAACCACTGGCTTAGATGGACAACATTCTATGAACCACTGGCTTAGATGAACAACATTCTATGAACCACTGGCTTAGATGAACAACATTCTATGAACCACTGGCTTAGATGGACAACATTCTATGAACCACTGGCTTAGATGGACAACATTCTATGAACCACTGGCTTAGATGGACAACATTCTATGAACCACTGGCTTAGATGGACAACATTCTATGAACCACTGGCTTAGATGGACAACATTCTATGAACCACTGGCTTAGATGGACAACATTCTATGAACCACTGGCTTAGATGGACAACATTCTATGAACCACTGGCTTAGATGGACAACATTCTATGAACCACTGGCTTAGATGGACAACATTCTATGAACCACTGGCTTAGATGGACAACATTCTATGAACCACTGGCTTAGATGGACAACATTCTATGAACCACTGGCTTAGATGGACAACATTCTATGAACCACTGGCTTAGATGGACAACATTCTATGAACCACTGGCTTAGATGGACAACATTCTATGAACCACTGGCTTAGATGGACAACATTCTATGAACCACTGGCTTAGATGGACAACATTCTATGAACCACTGGCTTAGATGGACAACATTCTATGAACCACTGGCTTAGATGGACAACATTCTATGAACCACTGGCTTAGATGGACAACATTCTATGAACCACTGGCTTAGATGGACAACATTCTATGAACCACTGGCTTAGATGGACAACATTCTATGAACCACTGGCTTAGATGGACAACATTCTATGAACCACTGGCTTAGATGGACAACATTCTATGAACCACTGGCTTAGATGGACAACATTCTATGAACCACTGGCTTAGATGAACAACATTCTATGAACCACTGGCTTAGATGGACAACATTCTATGAACCACTGGCTTAGATGAACAACATTCTATGAACCACTGGCTTAGATGAACACAATTCTATGAACCACTGGCTTAGATGGACAACATTCTATGAACCACTGGCTTAGATGAACAACATTCTATGAACAACTGGCTTAGATGAGCAACATTTTATGAACCACTGGCTTAGATGAACAACATTCTATGAACCACTGGCTTAGATGAACAACATTCTATGAACAACTGGCTTAGATGAGCAACATTCTATGAACCACTGGCTTAGATGAACAACATTATATGAACCACTGGCTTAGATGGACAACATTCTATGAACAACTGGCTTAGATGAGCAACATTCTATGAACCACTGGCTTAGATGAACAACATTCTATGAACCACTGGCTTAGATGGACAACATTCTATGAACCACTGGCTTAGATGGACAACATTCTATGAACCACTGGCTTAGATGAACAACATTCTATGAACAACTGGCTTAGATGAGCAACATTCTATGAACCACTGGCTTAGATGAACAACATTCTATGAACAACTGGCTTAGATGAGCAACATTCTATGAACCTGGTATAGTTTCTATAGAATGTTCTTCATTAAAAACGTGTAAACTAAGTAAAATTATCAAGACACTATTCCAGTTTATTTTTATTCATAATAAACTGGTATAGTTTTTTCATATAAACTGGTATAGTTTCTTGATAATAAACTGGTATAATTTCTTCATAATAAACTGGTTTAGTTGATTCATAATAAGCTGGTATAGTTTCTTGATAATAAACTGGTATAGTTTCTTCACAATGAACTGATATAGTTTCTTGATAATAAACTGGTATAGTTTCTTCATAATAAACTGGTATAGTTTCTTTATAATAAACTGGTATAGTTTCTTTATAATAATCTGGTATAGTTTCTTCATAATAAACTGGTATAGTTTCTTCAAGCCCGGTAGATCATAAAAGCAGACACGCGATGATAGCGGTGCTGGTAATTTTTACCCATCCGCGCCAAGTTCGTCTGCCCGAGGCGGTCACGAGAAGGCGAAATTCAAAGGTCACGTCGAGTTTCATATCTGGGATGTTCAACGCTTTAAATGAGTCGTAAAGATGGCGAGATGAAAGGACCTAAGCATAATGGCCGTTGAGGGGTCACCTGACAATATGAATGCTTAATGTTTTATTATACCTTACCACTCTTGTCTGATGCTACTGTTTATTCGGATATTTACATTTTTTAAATGTCTAATTAAGTAAGAAATAACAGAGAGGCTGCTCACAGAGAAATAACTAGTTGACACAAGCTATTTGATAGATGTGTATAAATAAAATGTATAATATATATGCTATAGAAAAAAAACAATTAAAATTGATAGGCAGGGCGTGCTATTGTGGAAACTAGTTTAATAGGAAACACGGAGTCGAAAACAAGAATTTTTTCATGATGGGGTATAGAGTTGTTAAAAATATTGACTCCTGATTCCCATGTTATATTTCTAAGCGTAATTTTAAACTTTGAAATAGCCACCCTTGTAGTTTCACAACTCAAACAGTCTTTATTCTGTCCATCTCTTTCCTTTAAAAGAAATCCTAAAATATTGAGAATGGAAGAACCAAAAGAGAACCAGCTAGAAATAATAACTCGGCAACAGAACAAAAATTCCATTGTGAGCTCTCAAGGAATCAGACGGTGGCATGCCTTTGGGCGTGGGCCCAAGAAACCAATCGGCAAGCAAGGAATTAATTAGAAATGAAAAATAATACAACAATAGCTTCTGAGTGGTGGAGGGGGTTAACATTATTTGATAGGATTTTAAGTGTAGTTTCAAATATTCAAGACCAGAAAAAAGATACGAAACTATGCTTGAAAGATATGCTACGAAAGATATGCTACGAAAGATATGCTACGAAAGATATGCTACGAAAGATATGCTACGAAAGATATGCTTGTTTTGTTTGATTACGACTGTAGCTACGCCTTGGCCATCTGCTCAAATTTTTCATTTTATCTTGGTCCTAAGTTTACCTTTGCAGTGGCTTCCAGGTGCTTCCAATACTTTGGGTGTCTGCCTCTAGCTCGCGTCTCCATGTTTACTTCAATCTCTTCCCTTCCTCTTTGAATTCCATTCTAGGGATTGTATGATGATGTCATCTGTAGTGTTTACGAAGAGTGTGTCCTACCCACCTCCATTCTTCCCTCATGATGTCTTCAGATATAGTTATTTGGTCCGTTCTTTCCACTAAGTCTTTGTTGGTGATGGTGTTTGGCCATTTTATGTTCAGGATGTTTTTAAAGCAAGTGTTTATGAAGGTCTGTACTTTCTGCGTAAGGCAAGCAAGGAATGTTTTGACATTTTTGTTGAAAAATATGACTTAAGTTTGCAGGGTCAGCTCCTTTGACTCCCATATTTTCTTTAATAGCGCAAATGCTGGCCTAGCCTTTCCAGTTCGGCCTTGACATTGGCTTTATGTCATCCACAGACAAAAAGACGAACGGGATAGTGACTAGATAATGTAAAGTTTATTTAATAGCCATGATTATGTAATGTAAAGTTTATTTAAAAGCCATAAAAAATAAGTGCCCAATGTGTTTTTTTTTTAAATCAACAAACATACTCTCTAATTCAGTAATTCAGTATACATATTATGATGTTCTCAACTCTTAAACACATTATGAAAGTTACCTGGCTTGCCAGTTGCTTCATAAAGAAGTTAGGGTAAAATTAGATTATAAGGATTTAACCGGTACAGGCCTTGTCCTTTTAGACTTTATATTGCAAAAACCACAATATCTGATCCCCACGTGAAGCGTTTAGCATAATGTGTTATAATGCTAGCATCTCATCTTTTGTAGCGGTATTGTAGCGATATTGTAGCGGTATTGTAGCGGTATTGTAGAGGTATTGTAGCGGTATTGTAGCGGTATTGTAGCGGTATTGTAGCGGTATTGTAGCGGCAGTAGATGCAGTGGTTATTAGTTAAAGTCGTAGTTTCAGCAGTGGTAACAGCGGTGGTAACGGTGGCGGCATCAGTAGCGGTAGCAGTTTTAAAAGTAGTAATTGGAACTCATCAAGTACCACGCTAACAAGAGCGACGCATATGATTTGCTGTGAAGGTGAGTTTGATCTTGGCTGCCACTACAAGTATCTTGTCTTCAGTCAAATTCGTACTGTGTGTGTGTGTGGGGGGGGGGAGGGAGTCACAGTGACGTCAGTTGCGTCAGTGGCGTGGGTGGCGTTAGTGACGTCAGTGGGGTTAGTGGCGTTAGTGCCGCTCGTAGCTGACAAAGCATCATCTCCTCCTTCTCCCTTTTATGATTTGCTGTGAAGGTGAGTTTGATCTTGGCTGCCACTACAAGTATCTTGTCTTCAGTCAAATTCGTACTGTGTGTGTGTGTGGGGGGGGGAGGGAGTCACAGTGACGTCAGTTGCGTCAGTGGCGTGAGTGGCGTTAGTGACGTCAGTGGCGTTAGTGGCGTTAGTGCCGCTCGTAGCTGACAAAGCATCATCTCCTCCTTCTCCCTTCTACGGAAAAAAAATACGTAGACCGAAAATGTCAACCTCTTTATAAGGAGGGAAAGCGCCATCCTCTTTATAAGGAGAGAAAATGTGACCCTCTTTATAAAGGGGAGAAAATTCTACCTTCTTTATTAGGAGAGAAAATGACACCCTCTTTTTAATAATAGAAAATTCCACCCTCTTTATAAGGAGAGAAGATGCCCCCCCCTCTTTATAAGAAGAGAGAATATCATCCTCTTTATAATAAGAGAAAAATTCCACCATCTTTTTTAAGGAGAGAAAATGCCACCCTATTCATAAGAAGATAAAATGCCACCTCTTCATAAGGAGAGAAAATGCCAACCTCTTCATAAGGAGAGAAAATGCCAAACTCCTTATAAGGAGAGAAAGTGACACCTCTTAATAAGAAGAGAAAATGCCCCCACCCCCCTTCTCTTAATAAGAAGAACAAATGCCACCCTCATTATACTAAGAGAAACATTCCACCCTCTTCATAATAAGAACACGTGACGCCTGGGGGATGTCCGCATCCTGCTGCCCCCCCCTCCCTACACCAGGGGGAGACACATATTTTCTCCTCTTGTGGTTTTATTTCTTATTTTAATATAAATATAGTTTTCTCTTCTGAGCAAATCTCTTCTTACCTTGACCGCCTTGGCAGGTTAGTCTTTAATCCCAGTGTCATGTCGCGAAATAAAGTTTAGGAGAGAAAATTAATGACAGGACTTGCTGTTTATTTTTCCGTCAGCCTAAATCATTTATAGGAATGCAATTTGATGGTTGTAGGGTTTCTATTGTGGCATTTATTTGTTCAAGAAATGGTGTACGTTTGAAAGTCATACGGAGCAAGAGCATCATATGGCTGTAAAGTGTAAAGCATTATGTTGTAAGTCTGAGTGTATGTTTGTTTCAGATTTCTACCATACTGCACAACCCATACCACATAGTTCTATGACTTGCAACGACAAAGTGAAATGTTTTTGTGCCATGCACAAGTGACTATCGTTTATAGGATCATATGTCATGCAAACGTCACTATCGGTTATAGGATCATATGTCATGCACACGTGACTATCGGTTATAGGATTATATGCCATGCACTCGTGACTCTTTCATTTATAGGATCATATGCCATGCACACGTGACTATCGTTTATAGGATCATATGTCATTCTCACGTGATGTGTCATTTATAGGATCATTTGTCATGCACACGTGACGATCGTATATATGATCATATGTCATGCACAAGTGACTTTCGGTTATAGGATTATATGCCAAGCACACGTGACTCTTTCATTTATAGGATCATATGACATGCACACGTGACTATCATTTATAGGATCATATGTCATGCACACGTGACTCTCTCATTTATAGGATCATATGCCATGCACACGTGATTATCGTTTATTGGATCATATGCCATTCTCAGGTGATGTGTCATTTATAGGATCATATGCCATGCACACGTGACTCTCTCATTTAGAGGATCATTTTGCATTTCATGTGATGTGTCATTTATAGGATCAAAATGCCGTGAACACGTGCCTATCTCATTTATAGGATCATATTCCATGCGCACATGAATCTGTCAATTTTTTTTCTAATATAAAATGTAACCTTTGAAAAAGACATACTTTCCCTAAATTTTCACATATTATTTTTGAAAAGGATTCGAAATAAAAATTTAATGCCACACCGGGACGTTTCAAGGACCTCAGCAGGAAATGTTTCTGTTTGGTCGTAACCAAGATGTACGATGTCTGCTTGATATTGAGTTGACGTTATATCACGTTATTCCACATGTTTTTATAATCTCATGACAAATAGTCAGGTTATTCCAAATTTTTTTAAAATCTCATGACAAAATGGTCAAGTTATTCCAAATGTTTTTATAATCTCATGACGAAATGTGTCACGTTATTCCAAATGTTTTTAATATCTCATGACAAAATGTGTCACGTTATTCCAAATGTTTTTATAATCTCATGACGAAATGTGTCACGTTATTCCAAATGTTTTTATAATCTCATGACAAAATGGTCACGATATTTTAAAATGTTTTTATAACAATTCCTAACAATTGATGCAACAAAGAGGCTGATGTCTGCATTTGTGCTAGCACGCATGGACTATTGCAATGCTCTTATGGTGGGTCTTCCAGCTACGCTCCTGGATAAAATTCAAATAGCACAGAATAATGCGGCTCGCATTGTTCTCCGCAAACGCAAGTTTGACCATGCAAATACACTTCTGAGAGAGCTGCACTGGCTGCCGGTGCGTGCTCGCATGGAGTACAAAATCGCAACTTTGTGCTACCGCTGCTTACATGACCTGGCGCCGTCCTATCTGAAAGAGCTGCTGACGCCTTATGTACCCACTAGAGAGCTCCGCTCATCCGATAGTGGCAAACTCTCGACACCACGTGTTTGCCTTGAGACTTACGGAAAGCGCACTTTCGCATTTGCTGGTCCAACAATTTGGAACGCCCTTCCTGTCGATCTTAGAAACAACCAGACACTGGAGTCCTTTAAAACCGATCTAAAGACACATCTATTTCGCAAATACCTTCTGGGATGATTGTCTACCTTATTTTCCAGTTAATGCATAATGGCTGTGTTGCTCCGGGTTGAAATGGCTAGAAAGACTTTGCCATTGTATGCTTGTAATTAGTTTTTGTAGTGTTGCGTTTGTTTTAAATGTGGTAAATTATAGATTTGTTTTTTGTTGACTTTGTACCGCGCTTCGAGCCTTTGGGGATGAAGCGTGTTTTTGAAATGAACTTTATTATTATTATTATTATTATCTCATGGCGATATGGTCACGTTATTCCAAATTTTTTTATAATCTCATGACGAAATGTGTCACATTATTCCAAATAATTTTATATTTTTGTGAAGAGATGTGTAACGTTATTCCAAATGTTTTTATATTCTCATGACAAAATGGTCACTTTATTCCAAATGTTTTTAAAATCTAATGACGAAATTTCCACTTCATTCCAAATGTTTCTATAATCTCATGACAAATATTTTACGTTATTCCAAATGTTTCTATAATCTCATGACAAATTTCCCTCTTCATTCAAATAATAGTAATCTACTTTGTCCCCTAGCTCGATACGCCCTGGGGTTTTAAATATTACAATCAAACCTTAAAGTCAGTATAATCCACAACGGCGATTATTTTGTACTTACAAATCAAGTATCCCAATACGACAAAAACACGAGTCGCCGTCACGCACAGATCCATGGATGGATGATGAGACTAATATCCACGGTTCACCCAGAAGAACAATTTCCAAAACAATTCTTTTGCTGAAGAAAAGGTAAACAAATACATATAAAATTGTATACAGTAAGTAAAAAAAATAATCTACTGCAAAAATTTTGTTGACAATGCTGCAGCAAAAAACAGCCAGCTAATAATGGCGCTGCAGAGAGCATAATTTATGCCCCATTCACCTAACGTATGGCCTGTGGCACGAACGAATACAGTTATATGAATGTTATTTTAACTCAGCAGTTGTCGCCCCTTGAGAGGTATATACGCGGTAAAAAACACATTTTCATTTTGAAATTCAAGTTTCTTGTGTCTCTTAAAATGATATTTAAATTAGAGTATTTGTTGACATCTCAGATGTATCATTAAACGAAGGAGACACAAGGGATGGGAGCGTCGCGGAATAATTGTACCAGTTGCATGCAAATTTTATGTTTGTGTCCAGCCTTGCCACTGAAGAGCCGGGCCACTGAAGAGCCGGGCCAATGAAAAGCCGGGCCAATGAAGAGCCCGGTGACTGAAGAGCCCGGTGACTGAAGAGACCGGCGACTGAAGAGACCGACCACTGAAGAGCCAGGCCACTGGAGACGCAGATATTAAATGATTTACGCCATCAGATATCGACACGAATTTCCTAAATAATATAAACGTATTAAAGACATACTCTCCTATCAACAGTCTACTAAAATCGAATAACCTTACCAAAAAATTTTCAAGTGGCCCCTTCAAACAAAATACAATACCTTTTTCAGATTATAGGTTTTCTGGACGCCAAAACGTCCGCACAATGCCTGGTCAGGTAAATGAAAGAGGATAAAAAAAAAACAAAAAAACTTTCGTTTTCAGTCTCCACTGATAGAGACGTCTTACTAAGGGCTTACTTTTAATGTCTCCATCATTGGGTCTTTGGCTTCAGGGATACGGCCGGATATAATCTTATGACCCAGCAGGATTTAAATTGAGTTGTTGGAATGTTGTCAAGGGGGGGGGGGGCTATTAAGAACTTTTTTTTATATGGTAGGCCACTATAAGGGGACAAAACTAATAGTTGGTTATCACCTGGTAACATAAATCTAGAAATTGTTGTATTGCATCTATTTATGACTCTTTCTTATCAACAACACCAACAACAAACAAAAAAATTAATTTAAAAAAAGACAAAAAGAAAAAAAAAATCCATGTAAAAAAAAAAAAAATTCAAAATAGCCGAAAACCAAGTTAATGTTACTGCTAATATTATTGTTAATGTTATTGTTAATGTTATTGTTAATGTTATTGTTAAAGTTATTATTAATGTTATTGTTAACGTAAATGTTAATGTTAATGTTATTGTTAATGTTATAGTTAACGTTTTTGCTTTTGCCAATTACAATGCAGCGTCGAGAAATTTCTGAACAATATTCAAATTTTGTGCGGGTGCAACAGCATATAGGTAACATCAACGAACTCTGCATATTTTGCTATTCTCGTTGTCAGCCTTTCATTAATTATTCATGAGTTTATTTGCATGAAACTCCGGGTCAGGTCAGGCCTGGGCGAACGTCATAGTAAACAAGTCATGTGACCTGCGGACAACGCTTCTCGAGTAGATAAAGTGAAATTCGACAAAATTTGCATGGCAAATTTGACGCCAGGGGGCGCAGCTGATGAATTTGAACATGACAGAGATGAACGGCTCACGGTGAAGAAATGATACGTTCAGAATGGGGGTCGAGGACTAGACTGGAATTCAACGAGAAGACGAAACCGTCTAGCAACAATATGTTTTCTTTGCTAACTTATAGCTAAGGGGTCTAACAGAGACAGACTCCGATAAACATTTTGGGGGCCTGATGCACACACAAAATAAATAAAAAAAAAGAAAAAACTTGCTCCAAATCACGTAGTGCAAATCAATGTCTTGAGAGTTAAAACTTGTCTAGGGTTAGGGTGAGTGTTAGAGGTTAGGATGAGGGGTTAGGTCTAAGGGTTAGAGGTTAGCGTTAGGGTCAGCTGTTAGGGCTTAGGGTTAAGGGTTAGGGTTAGGGGTTAGGGTTAAGGGTTAGGGTTAAGGGTTAGGGTTAAGGGTTAGGTTTAAGGGTTAGGGTTAAGGGTTAGGGTTAAGGGTTAGGGTTAAGGGTTGGGGTTAAGGGTTAGGGTTAAAGGTTAGGGTTAAGGGTTAGGGTTAGGGTTAAGGGTTAGGTTTAAGGGTTAGGGTTAGGGTTAAGGGTTAGGTTTAAGGGTTAGGGTTAAGGGTTAGGGTTAAGTGTTAGGGTTAAGGGTTAGGGTTAAGGGTTAGGGTTAAGGGTTAGGGTTAAGGGTTTGGGTTAAGGGTTAGAGTTAAGGGTTAGGATTAAGGGTTAGGGTTAAGGGTTAGGGTTAAGGGTTAGGTTAAATGTTAGGGTTTAGGGTTTAGGGTTTAGGGTTAGGGTTAAGGGTTAGTGTTAAGTGTTAGGGTTAGGGTTGGGGTTAAGTGTTAGGGTTAAGGGTTAGGGTTAAGGGTTAGGGTTAAGGGTTAGGGTTAATTGTTAGGGTTTAGGGTTAGGGTTAAGGGTTAGGGTTAAGGGTTAGGGTTAAGGGTTAGGTTTAAGGGTTAGGGTTAAGGGTTAGGGTTAGGGTTAAGGGTTGGGGTTAAGGGTTAGGGTTAAGGGTTAGGGTTAAGGGGTAGGGTTAAATGTTAGGGTTTAGGGTTTAGGGTTAGGGTTAAGGGTTAGGGTTAGGGTTAAGGGTTAGGTTTAAGGGTTAGGGTTAAGGGTTAGGGTTAAGGGTTGGGGTTAAGGGTTAAGGTTAAGGGTTAGGGTTAAGGGTTAAGGTTAAATCTTAGGGTTTAGGGTTAGGGTTAATGGTTAGGGTTAAGGGTTAGGGTTAAGGGTTAGGGTTAAGGGTTAGGGTTAAGGGTTAGGTTTAAATATAAGGGTTAAGGTTTAGGCTTAGTTTTAAGATTTCCGACTCGTTGTCACGATTTAAATAAATCAATCCGTCCTGGCCTGCATTTAAATGAAAGATGATTTTATCCTTTGCATGACAGAGCCAAATTTCTCCATCGCAGTTGCTTTAACGTATTCAAAATTCACAACAAAATACAAATATTTAGAAAGCCATTTTGGCAAATACTAGAGGTACTTTATAGCCTGTATCTTGTGAGCAGAAACTGCTTTACCCGCGTCAGTCGTCGCAAGTCTTTTGAGTCGTTATACAGTTCTTATTTACATCAGCTGGATAAAAATCGACACATTTTTTTAAAAAATTGATTCTGATATTATAATGTTGTATTTAAAAAAAAAAGAAAGATTAACAACTTCCATCCGTTCCAGAATATGTTTTCTTTCTTTGGTCATAATCAGCGACCATGGCAGTGAGTACGAAGTCAAATATTAAACCACATCGACGACGACATAAAATATTACATTGCATCGATTACGACATAAAATATTACATTGCATCGACTACGACATAAAATATTACATTGCATCGGCTACGACAAAAAATATTAAACCACATCGAGAACGACATAAAATAATAAATTGTATCGACTACTACATAAAATATTAAATTGCCTCGACTACTACATGAAATATTAAATTGCATCGACTACGACATAAAATATTAAACGGTATCGACTACGACATAAAATATTAAACGGTATCGACTACAACATTAAATATTAAATTGTCTGTCTATTGGAGTTCCTCAAGGATCGGTCCTTGGGCCGGTCCTTTTCATCCTCTACACTAAACCTCTATCATCTCTCATTAGCCACCACTCAGTTTCCAGTCAATCCTTTGCTGATGACACTCAAATCAGTGACTCTTGCTTTCCTGATCAACTTGATTCCACAATCCTTCGCATACAGGAGTGCGTGGACGATGTAAAGCGTTGGATGACTTGCAACAAACTGAAGCTAAATGATGATAAAACGGAAATCCTTCTCATCCACTCTCAAAACAAACCTCTCCCTCCATTCGCTCCTTCTTCTATATCTATTGGCAACTCTGACATCACACTCTCTCCCTCTGCCAGAAACCTTGGAGTCACGCTTACGGACACCCTCTCCATGGAGAAACATGTCACGAATATATGCAGATCAGCATATAACGAAATTAGAAAAATCAGCACCATTAGACACCTCCTCTCCTTTGATGCCACAAAAACTCTCGTCTCTTCACTCATTCTTTCAAAATTTGACTACTGTAACATTCTTCTCTCAGGCATTCCTCAACACCACATAGAAAAACTTCAGAAGGCACAGAACTCAGCATGCAGACTCATTTTTAAATTAAAGAAACATGACCACATTCAACCACACATGCGGCAACTCCACTGGCTTCCAATATCCTCTCGCATCAAATACAAGTCTTCCAATCTTTGCTTCAACTCGTTCACTGACCCTCACTTTCCTGTCTATCTCTCTGAACTGTTGCTTCCTTACATCCCCACAAGACAACTACGTTCTTCCATTGACAGTAGAACCCTCTCAATCCCAAGAACTAAAACTAAGACCATCGGTGAACGCTCCTTCTGCTTCCATGGGCCCACGTTCTGGAACCAGCTCCCCTTCCATATACGTCATAGTGAAACCTCGTCCATTTTCAAAAAGTCCCTTAAAACTCATCTGTTTAGGTCCGCCTATGACCTGTGATGCACCCTCGTTGCCCTACCTAATTTTCTGTTTCGGTTTAATCCTGAAGTGTCAAAGTGTCCTCTTTTTATAGCCATTTTCATTGTTTCTATAGAATAGTAGTTACTATCCTAGTGTCTCATTTGTATTTACTTAGTTTACATGTTTTAATAATTGTAAAGCGCTTAGAGCTTTATGATAAGCGCTATATAAAAATGCCTAAATAAATAAATAAATAAATAAATATCTACTACGACATTAAGTATTAAACCTTTGACTTTGAACAAACTAGCTGGGTCATTGCTGTCACATTCTTCACGTGTCAGAAGGTTTTGTAGATTCTCTTCAAGGCCTCTGTAGGTTTCACTGCATGGAATATTGCCCTGATCTCTGTATGGTTTAAAATGATTTCTTTGCTAAACTCAAAATCCTGTCAGTGAATTTAGGCGGGTAACAGTTGCTCCGAGATCTATTGTTTACGATTGAAGAATTTATTTGTTCTAATTATTTGCTCTAGGACGTGGTTCTAACAACTCTACTCGTTATGAAAGAAAGTTCAAGTTTTCAATTTTTAAAAAACAAATTTACTTCTGTTCCAGTCATCCCCCCCCCCC